AAAATGAATCGTTCCTGGCAATTTCTCCTCCTTTTTCTTTGATTCCTCCTACAAAATCGACGATCCCGTCATCAAAAACCTTATATCGTGGTGTCAATCAACCTTCCAGCCACCTAAAATGTCTCGATCAACCAAAATCCTCTTCGAATGGTCAATCGTGCATGCGAATGATGTCTTTCCCAGATTGCCAGATCGAGATAAGTATTAATTTTTTTGTTATCTTATTCCAGTTTTGCTTGTAAATGTATAAATAGATGACTAAATGCATTGTTTTGCTCATCTGCAGTTAATCGAAGTCATAATCCAGAAACCCTCACCTTCTAGATTTCTGAATCACCTTTCCATCATTCTCAGTAAGTTTTTTCGACATTAGTTTGTTTAATTTTTTTTTATTGGAGCTTGCTTAGTTTGTCAGAAACCTTAATATGTTGTTTTTGCTTTGCAGCTTGTTGTTCGTGAGTCCCATCTAGCCAGTGGTGCTTCTGCTTCAACGTGTCTGATGAGGTAACTCGTTGGTTGTTGTTTTTCTTGTTCTTGGTGTAATGTTTTGAAATCTTCCCCTAAGTTAGTAATCGACCATTACTCACCTTAATTTCGAAACTAATCCATTTTAATGTCCTATCTAAGTTCGTAATGGTAAAATGCTAATGAATCATTAGCAATTTAGTAATGATCTGTTAGTAAATGCTATGAATCATTAGTAATGACTTGTCTTGTTTCTGCTCATTTGAACACATGTAATCCAAATCAAGTAATGCTTAGTTCGAAACTGCTAAACTGCTCACTGTTGTATTTATGTTCGAAAATGCTAAGTTATATACTTCTACACTGCTCAGTGTTGAAATTAAGCTTGAAACCAAAAATCCAGTAATGCTTACTCAATTCTGTAATTTGTAATCACAAAACTTAAGCTTGAAATTAAGCTCTAAACTCAAATGCTAAGTTGGAATGTTGGATACTTCTAATCTATAATATTTTCTTCTCAATTCTAACCTTATTTTCTCTAAACTAAGTAATAAGAACACACCTGAACATCTTTTTAATACATTTTTATTGCTTATATTAAACAGATGGAACCTAAACACGTTGAGATTGCGCCTGCTGATGTTGTTACCCCTCCTACTGGTAATCCTGATAATCTTGTGGAAGATTTCTTTCTCAACATCCTTAGGTGCTAGCTAGTAGGTCTTTAAAATCTGATGTCTGGCCTCACTTCACTAGGATGATGGTAAATGGGATATTAAAAGCTAAATGCAACTACCGTAAGAAGGTGTTTACTGGGGAAACTAGTAATGGTACTTCCCATTTAGAACTCATAGGAACAAGTGTGTTGATAAAAAAAATAGAGGATGGGGTCAAAGGGTACTTGGTTGAGTTGGTTCTAATTACAATGCCAATGGAACACCTGATATGAGTACGAATCAGTTTAGTAGTGAGGTGTCTAGAAAGGAACTCTGCACCATGATCTTGGTGCACGAGTGTCCCCTTTCTATTGTTGACCACCTTTACTTCAAATGGTTTTTTTGTACCTTGAACCCTCTCTTCAAAGTCCTACCCGAAATACCATAAAGAAGGACATAGTGTCTCTTTATGGTTTAGAGAGGTCTAAGATTCAAAAGGTCATTGACCAAAACAGAGGGAAGATAGTTGTCACCACTGACATGTGGACTGCCACAAACCAGAAAAGAGCTTACATGGCTGTGACATCCCATTATATCGACAACTTTTAGAAGCTGAGAAACCATCTTGTAATGTTTGGTTACCTCCCTGCCCCATACACTAGTGAGAGGCTGGCTGGAAAGATAATTCAATGCCTCCCATCATGGAACATTGATAGTACATTGTCAACAATTACACTTGCCAATTGTACTACCAATGATTCCATGATCAATCTAGTTAAACAAAGGTTGGTCTTGTCTTATCTAATTAGGAATGGGACACTTCTTCATATGAGGTGCTCTACTCGCATCCTTAATATGACTGTGAGGGATGGTTTTGATGTTCTGAAAGATGGAATAGAACAAATCAGGGAGAGTGTGATGTTTTGGACATGCATACCTAGGAGGGTGGAGTTTGTTCATGCAACTACCCAACAACTTAAATTATTTATTTCTAAGAAATTGGTCTTAGATTGTCCCACTTGCTGGAATTCCACCTACGAGATGCTTTCTGGTTTTATGTCATATAAGGATGTGTTATCTGTATTGAAAATAAGGAAACCTCAATAGAACTCTATGCCTACTAATGAGCAGTGGGAGTTTACTGCTGTCTTGGTTGAGAAACTTGATATTTTCAAGGACATAACTTTAGTTTTTCCTGGTTCAAACTACCCAACAGCAACCACAAGTTAGATCACTATCTACCTAAAGGATGTACATCCTAGAACACCGTAATTCGATTTGCTGGGTTGGTGGAAATTCAATGGTGCAAAGTATCCCATTTTGTAAGACATTGCAAGGGATTTACTTGTGGTACCTATTACGAGTGTTGCATCTGAATATGAATTTAGTTCTGGTGGGTGGTTGCTTGATCCCCATCAGAGCATACTTGATCCTAAAACATGGGAAGCTATGATGATACTAAGGACCTGGATTCAGGATGATAACAAAGGTATTCTGCTTATTTAATTCTTTGCATGGTTTCTATTTCATTATTTCTTTCCAAGTCAATTAATTCTTCATTCTCTGGTAGTTTCTGCCTTGGATGTGAAAGCGCTCGAGGGGGTGTTCTCGGCTATGGCAATGAATGATGCCACAGTGGAAGAGAGCACAGGTAAGTGTTTTCATTCTATTGCTATGATTGGTTTCTGGATTAGCTTTAAGTTTGTGTTTTAAGTTCTAAGTTTTCCTATACGAATAATGCATCAGAATCAAGTGTCGAATGTGAATGAAACTGCCATATTGCAGATATTGTCCAGCAGGCATTAGTTGGTGAATTACTTTTGATTGATGGATTTGCTGGACTAATGCTGGGTTGCTGGACTCATGTTGGGTTGATGGACTGATGTTGTGTTGCTGGGTGTTTTGGCGACATGATGAATGATTGTTGCTACTAGTGCTTATTGATTTCTGGATTTTTGATTGTGTTTGAACAGCCATGGACATTAGTGCCCATGTTTATGGGTTTTTTAGATTATTAGCTGAGAATTACAGATCATTGTTAGTGCGGGTTTCAGACTTTTAGTTCTTAGTTTTCACAAAGTCTGTGTTATTTTAAGGTTACATTCCTGGATTTTTGACAGGTTCTGGGTTTGCAATTCATGGATACTGCTGGAATGTTATAATGTTTTGGTTTTCCCTCCATTCTTAAGTTCATTTGATATCAATATGTTTAGTTGATCTAAAAATCTGGATGAGTATTGAGCATATAGTATTAGGTGTTGGCGGGTAGTCTGTAACCCACGGGCTCACCGATGCCGGACTGGATTTTGGCTTGGTCTGCATTCTCTGCCCGTATAGCTTAGCGGGACGGTGACGGCTAAAACCCGCGGGTACGAATGGCGGGCAACGAATACGAGGTATCCGCACCATATATGACCAATTGCCATCCCTATTAATTACTTTGATCCCATTTCTGCCAACTAGGAATAAACAAAACTATGGTGAAAGAGAACAAAAGTCAAATTCATTTTCTACTGGTTCAATATGTTCACATTTGTTCCAATTTGTATACGTCTAGTGGCCACACAAATTAGGAAAACAAAATCAAATTCATGTATTTAATTAGTTTTGAGTTTTAGCCTTTTTTTCTATTATGGTGTTTCCATATATCTATATTTTATTTCCTTGCTTTCTGGCATGGTTATCAAAATGAATGCTTAGCTTTATATATATATATATATGTTATTCATGAAATATAAGTACACATTCATAACAGGAAAAAAATAGAAGAAACTAACTATAAGCAGTGGTGCATAATTTTATAGAGAGAGCATCAATATGAGTTCAAATATGCCAACACTGACCATTTTTATATGTGTTTTCTTGACCACTGCAGCTATAGTTAGTGAGGTTTGCAGTGCCAATAGAGAAGTTCCTGATACTAGCTCCTCCTCGTCACCTAATACAGGAATCCTTTCATCAATAAAATTAGTTCATCACAAATTTATCATTGCATGCTGTGACCACGGTTTTGAGCCATGTTGTCTTATTTGCCCAGAACCATGCGACCGAACCAGAACGTGAGTTGTAGTTTTCTCATATGCCGATGTGTTAGATCTCGAAAATTATGATATGCACCAATTGTATTTGTATTTTTATGAGGAATGAATAAATCAAATTATGATGTTTAGTTGACTACTTAATTCATTGCCAACTTTTCTCCTGGTTTTGGGCTTTTTTCTTTGGTGAGTAAATCAAATCATGGTGTTGCTTTATGGGTTTTGTGATTTGGTTTGTCATATTATTTTTATGTAGTATGAATTTTTTGGTATGTTTAATGAGAGTTGTGGTAAGCTTTATGAGTTTTTTGGTCTGCTTAGGAAAGTTGTTGTCAACTTAGCTTTCTAGTATGTTTTATGAGTTTTATGGTGTGGTGAGTTTGTGGTGTGCTTTATGAGCCTTTTGATCTGCTTTATTTTATTTTTTTGGCGTGCTTTGTCGTATTTCGTATGTTTTATGATACTTGTGGTCGTTGCCAGCTAAGAACGAGACGCAGAATAAAAGAGCAACGCTACGCCCTTGTTCCCACTATAATTTCTAAAAATTAAACGCGTGTCTGTCCCTTTACAAATCTGCATTATGATAAATTATCAAAACAAAATGTTTCACTAACTGAAGTTAGGGCTGAAAGTTTGGTATATGTATTTGAGATTTACCGAATACCATACCGAAATTATCAATATTTGGTATTATTGAATACATGTATTATTTTATGAGATTTGGGTTAAGGCTGAATTTGTAGTGTTATTCGATATTACTGATAGCGAGATTAGGATCGATATTATACTAAAATAAAATAAAAACAGAATTATATACTAGGATGCAACTTTACCCTCTAGCCAGGCTACCATGATTCACTTCTACCGAGCCTGAACCATCAAAAAGTAAAATTAATTATAGGGTTAATTGCATGGTTGGTCACTAAGATTACAAAAAACGTTCAAGTTTGGTCACTCGAAATATTTAAATCCATTGGTGGTACTTCGGTTTACTAAAACCGTTCACGTTTGGTCACTCTCCGTCCAACTCCGTTAATTTTGGCTGATGTGGCAGTCAACTCTCAAAGTTGACCGTTAACTTAATGATGTGGCAATTAAGAAATAATAAATAAAATAAATTTAGTCAATTTTAATGTCCGACTCATTTTTATCATAAAATATATAAATAAAATAAAAAATATTATAATTATTAATTACCAAATTAAAAGCCCGACGGATCTGCCCAGCTTCTTCTGCACGACGAATCCAGACGACCCGATTTTCCACTTGGTGATGGAATCTTCCGAGTCAGCCGCTAGAGCTTCGGGCGTGCTAGTTCACTCATTCGATGCCCTCGAGCCAAACATCCTGGCTGCGCTCAACTCCATCTACCCTAACCTTGTATACCCAGTGGAACCCATAGAGATCCTCCTGAATTAAATCGTGATCCATCCATCCGACCCAGCCCTCGACAGCCGACGCAATCAACTACAGCTTGTGGAAAGAAGACCCAAAGTGCCTCCGTTGGCTCAACACCAAACCGCCAAACTCTGTCATCTATGTCAATTTTGGAAGCATCATAATGGCGTCGAGAGAGCATCTAATCGAATTCGGGATGGGTTTCGTAAACAGCAGACTCAAGTTTCCTTTGGATCATCCGGCCAGACCTGGTTGCCGGAGAATCAGCGGCGTTTCCGCCAGAGTTCCAGGAGAAGGCCGGCGAGATCGGGTTTATCTCCGGTTGGTGCCGCAGGAGGAAGTTTTGAACCATCCGTCGGTTGGATTTTTTTTTTTACGCACTGCGGGTGGGGGATCGATGTTGGAGAGATTGACGGCGGGAGTTCCAGTAATGTGCTGGCCTTTCTTCGGCGACCAGCTAGGTTTGCCTGTACGGAGTGGGGGATTGGAATGGAGGTCGAGAAGGATGTGAAGAGGGCGGCAGTGGAGAAGCTCATTAGGGAGTTGATAAATAATATTTTTTATTTTATGGTAAAAATGAGTTTGACCTTAAAATAGATTAAATTTTATTTTATTTATTATTTCTTAATTGCCATGTCACTAAGTTAACGGTCAACTTTGAGAGTTGACTGCCACATCAGGCAAAGTTAACGGAGTTGGACGGAGAGTGACCAAACGTGAACGGTTTCACTAAACTGAAGTACCACCAATGAATTTAAACATTTCGAATGACCAAACTTAAACATTTTTTTATAATGTCTGTGACCAACCATGCAATTAACCCATTAATTATACAAAGCCCATTACCTAGCATCGTTCCTGTCCTGCCTCACAAGTCACAAGTTGAAAACCCCAATTGACGATATTCTTAGTCTTTGACTGGTAATAATACTCGGCCCATAACTATTATGATTAATATGCATGTTTTATAACATCAACTAGGTGGAGATGCTGCGCCCTGTCGTGGGCGGAGATGGCCTATAGACATGTATTATGTGGCCCATTATGATGTTTTGTTAGTATAATTAGTCTAAAATTAATTTTTCATTAGCAGTTTTGTTAGTAATATTGACTTAACAATATAATATTGATTTAAAAGAGATATACGACGGTCAATATCATTTTTTTTTTGAAAATTTTGGCTAGTAAATAATATTTACCTAAACCCAAGTAGACCTATTGATTATGGGTAGGGTATGAATGACATATATATTGGTTTAGAAGTTTGTATTACTTTTGCTTCTCTCTAGAGTTTTTCTTTTTCACCCGGGCTAGAATTTTTAACAAATATACATGGAATGTTTAGCTAGATATCTATACATATCAAATCCCATAGTGGAAAATGAAGACTTTTTTATATGTAATACCATATATATTTACTTTTAATTGGGCTTGACATGGAGCTGAAAAAAGTTAGTGGTTCACAGTTCAATTATTAGTTCTCTAGACTGTGAGTCGTGTATGGACTCATTTATACTTGTGATTAGAATACATAATTGTTCAATAATTTTATATTAAAATTAAATTTGGGGTATCAAGGGTTTAGAAGTTTGCATTCCTTTTGCTTCTCTCTAGAGTTTTTCTTTTTCACCCGGGCTAGAATTTTTAACAAATATACATGGAATGTTTAGCTAGATATCTATACATATCAAATCCCATAGTGGAAAATGAAGACTTTTTGATATGTGATACCATATATATTTATTTTTAATTGGGCTCGACATTGAGCTAAAAAAGTTAGTGGTTCACGGTTCAATTATTAGTTCTCTAGACTGTTTGTGAGTCGTGTATGCACTCATTTATACTTGCGATTAGAATACATAATTGTTCAATAATTTTATATTAAAATTAAATTTGGGTATCAAAATGTAAAATTTATATTATAGTATATTAATTAAGGTTAGACGAAGAAGGCAAAGAAAGAAATAAAGAAAGGGTTATGGAAGGCGAGTGAAAAATGAAATGAAAAGGAAGTAGATGATGGAAAAGTTTTGACCAATTCTTTTAGTTGGTCATCAATAAACAATCAACCCTTTTCACCGTACCAATTTATTGACACTTGCTTGTGTAGATGCCGCATATTTTGTTACATAGAGTTAGTAAAAGTTTGTTTAGCACCTCGTAAATGTACTAAATGAGTTCATAAATTCGCTCTTGCAATATTTTAGAATCGTATCTCTTTTATCATTTACTTAATATTTCACGTAATGACCAAATATAAAATGATCGAATATTCTCCTACGGCTGAGTGGTATTGAGTGATACAACACATTATACAAACTAAATTTATACTTTTATGTTATGCTGGATTGGATTCATGGATTGGTTCAAAAGGATTGATGTATTGGATTCATGGATTCAAGTGAAATCTAAACATAGGACCAATATGTAAATTTAAAAAATTGTAGGTACAAAAATCTCATAAAATTTAGATACCAAAACATAATTGTTCAATGATTTTATATTAAAATTAAATTTGGGGTCTCAAAATATAAATTTAAAAAATTATAGGTACAAAAATCTCATAATTGTTCAATGATTTTACATTCTAGTGACTAAGTTGTGATTTAATTAAATTTGGGGTATCAAATGTAAAATGTTTGGCCACAGTAACCTAACATCAACTTTATTAAGAAAAATTATTTCCACTATCGCCGATCACTGTAGCGCAAGACACGTTTTACTATTCATACAGACTCAAAATTACTATTCACCTTCTTTTGATTGGTTGGTTGTCTGTCGTGGGCCCTGATGTTGACCAAAGGAATTGCTGGTTGCTTCGCCGCCAATTTCCAGCCCCTTTGCGCCTTCCTTTTCTTGTGTTGGGGTCTTCGAGTTTCGCATCGGCCTCAAATCCACTGTCTAGTATAATTGGTAATGATGGCGAAGGTTTGGAAAGAGTGAAGGTCTTCGTGTCCCAAGGGTTTCTCGGGTATTGCAATCCTTCACATAGAAGTTGAGCGGCCCTTGGACGAGTTGGGTCTTCTGCGTGATGATGGGGATGGTCTCTCTCTCTCATAGAAGTTGATTCGGAGATGGTCTCTCTCTCATCTCGGAGGCGAGGTAATTGTCAGCGACCAGGGAATCGTCGATCACCCGGCGGTTGTGAGGATCCATCTCCGACGAAGCGTAGATCCGAAGATGGTGCGGGGCCGATTCTCAAGCCAGAGCATTCTGATTCTCTTGCCTTTTTATTTTTTTCTGGCGAAATCGAGGTGATTGACGGGATGGGGATCGCCGAGAACCTGCCGGTGATCATCGTTCTTCTCTCTCCCTCTCTTCTCGGAACTTCGATGGTTTGACCAGACACTGAAGAGCACCGGCTTTCCGGGTTAGTTTGTTTTCTATTTTTTTTCCGAATGGTTTTGTATCTCTCATTCTTCCTCAGAAGAATCTGTTTCATCTGTTTTCGAACAATATTTTGGCTTTGGGTTCGTTGATAGGATTTTCTAAGACCTGAGTTGAGCGTTGAATCTCAGCGAAAGCCTGCGGACCATTAGATTGTTGAGTTCTAATGGTGTTCAAACGGATTCGTAAGTTCTGTTTTAGTTTTTGACGGTTAATCTTTATGTTCGTGGATGGACCTTCTCTGTTTGACAGTGTTTTTTCTCCTACACAGGGAAAATATCGGTGATGCATTCCGTTTTTGAGATTCGAACGTCGGTGGCAGTCGTCCGAACTCCAGTCAGACGGCATCATACTCGAAGTCCCTAATCTTCGAATCTATCATACTCGAGTTCGCTTTCACCATTTCGTCTTTCAGTATCTCTGCCACTATATATGAGTAGGTTTTCCCTCTTCTGAGTTCTGAGAATGAATTGTGTTTATCAATTGATAGGGGATAATCTGAAGAAGAGAGGAGTTTGTGGTTGCTTGGGTTGTGGATTTTGTAAATTTGGAGATGGTTCGGAGTGCCCAGATTGGCGAGCTTTATGGTAAGTTTCCTTTTGTTTCTATGGTGACTTTGTTATGTTTTTCTTTGGATGGTTCTCAATCTTTCCGTCATTTAAAATATTTCTTTCCTGGTGATATATTCTTCCTACAGAATACAGATGCCTCTGCAGTTTCAGTTCAAGTGTCCGTATAAGTGAAGGTTCACGTAGGTTGGTGATGTGACCTTGAAATGCTTCAATTGTCTCCGGTTTTACCATGGATGCTACCAGCCACCAGGTATTCACCGGTTTGTGCACCAATATCCATCTATTCTCTATTCCTGTATTTTTCGGTTCATAATCATTCATTGTTGTTTTGTTTGACATAGTGCGTTCATGTCTCAACCTTTGAACCGTGACAAGCAACAGAAGATCGGAATATTTCAAATTAGAAGCTAGATCTAGGTATGAAAAAATAATGGATGCAATGATGCAATTCATTATTTGTCCACTTATAAAATGTTATGCCTTTTCATTAGAATTTTCACGGGACTAGCAGTATGTCCAACCACAAGATGACATGGAGGGTAAAATTTTCCTAAACCTGATGGTAAGTCTTCTTCAATCTTAATTGTTGTTCATTTGACTTGTTACTCTTGAGAGCTTGCTGTATGAAATGGGAGAGTGCATACATTTTAATGATTCTTCACTCAGATTTAAGTATCAGTTTTCCTTCTCCTCAAATTTCGTTTGTTAAACTCAGCGTCTTATTTTGGAGTTGGTATACTCATTAGAATAGTAAATTTTCTGCAACTTTTTGTGAATTTGATCCATACAAGGGCTAGAGTCTAAGCAGAGATGAAAATGCAGATGAAGTAACAAAGAGTCGCAGGAGAACTGCAAACTAGCTAATAAGAGTTAACAGTCCCCTCAAGCTTTGCCAATTGATAGCTTCTCAAGTTATTATCTGCTTCACCTTTCTTTCTGACCGAAATCATTCAAGTGATATGCTGTATGTTATGTAGTTGTTGTGATTGTTTATTTGATGATCGTGTATGTAGTAAATGAGTTCATTGAAGCTGGTGTGGTATGACATAAACTAAATTCAAATGATACTTTCCCTGGAAAGAAGGAACTGGGCTTTGCAGCTGAAGTTGGAGAGCAATCTCAGTCGGGCATGCAATGTTGAAGGAAGAGCCTTACAAGAGGTTATTTGATTTGAGGAGCGTTCACTAGAATGGGCTTTTGTTATTACAATCATTCAGTTTGTTGCTCTTTTTATTTTTATCCAATTGATTCTTCTGTAGTATTAGTGATAAGCTTTACCTGGGCTTTTCCAGTTTCTCATGTATAATTGCTCATTATTGAGAATTGGGCCTTGATTTCCTGTGCAATTGACATTTATCCATGCGTTGCTTGATATCTTCTATAGTTTTACGAATTGATAAGTAATTAGAAATTGAGAAAATGAACCAAAGAGTGTCATATTATAATTATATAGAGGAGCTTTACCAGAGTTGGAAGTCAAGATGAAGTCCTAAAAGTTCAGGAAATTAAACAAAGTCCGGGAAAAATAGTAGAGGTGATGTAATGTAAATCCGTGATTAGTGGTTGGCATGATCCTTTCGTAACTGAATGTGATGATGGTTAGTAATGGCTCATTGGATGTTATATGGAGATTTGCTAGCAAGTCTGCAGAGTAAGATAGGAATGGAGTCGCACCTCTTTTGTTCCTGGAGAAAGTATGCTGGATCTGGGTAGTGTAGTATTCTAAGTATAAATGAAATAAAATCCGAGGTTTACACGTAGATAATCGTATATGCCTCACAATGGTTCACAAATTGGAACGTACCCCGCCGCGGAGCGCGGGCTATTTACTAGTATATATTAATATGCATGTTTAGTAACTTGTTTCAAGGCATAATTGATTATGTCATTGTAGCATTTGAATTGTTTGAGAAATAGATATGTTAATGGGATGCTTAGTTGCACCATGTTTCTCATTATTTTGTTGCTGACTTGTAGTTTTTATGTGATTCGTAGTCGTTGGAAGAGTATTTGAATCACTATATGCTTATATATATGTATGCGATGGATAATTGTTTATCAAATTAATTTGGTATTTGGTATATATTAATGACGAATCAAAATATTTGGGATTGGAATACCGAATTTATTTTGTGATTGTTCTTGATTTTAGAACGCAATTTGGTATTCAAAGTTTTAGTATTTGGTATTGGGATTTCAATACCATACCGTTTTCACCCAAATCTGGAGTTAGTATTAGCACCATTCTAATAAATCTTGTGTTAACCTAAGTTTGTATGTAAATAAATAGGATTAATAACATTTTATATCCCTGTTACAAATTAACAAATGTATCCTTCTATTATTATTTTGCACAAATACGTCCCTTTATTATTACAACGTAGCAAATCTACCCGTCTATTACATTTCGGTTAGTTGACCGTTCGATGGCATGAAAATTACTATCTTGCCCTGTATTTTAATTATTATAAAATTCATTCCCAGCAAGAAAGATAGAATTTTAAGTAAAACACTAACTTTTATTATAGTTTTAATCCTCTCTTTTTTATTTTCCATAAAAATCAAGATTCAATTTCAAACTCCTCTCTTTACCATGGGCGTATACACCTAACTGAGATTCTTACTCTTCGCAGAGAGCAACACAAAACCTAATTATATCCATCCTCAATAACTCCGGTGACGAGTAGCTCCTCCGCTCTCGTAGGCGACCCCTCTCCACCGCCGCCATCCCACTTCTACAACCTCTTCTCTAATTGCTAGCTTCATTAGTCCCATTTGGGACCCTAATTTTTTTAACCCATAAATTTCAAGAAAACCAGCTTAAATCTTTGAAGTTAAAACGCCCTTTTTATGAGTAATCAAAAAAATTTCATTGAAGTCAGGGGAGTTGTAACTCGCAAAACTCCCTCTCAAATGTCACTTTGCTGGTTACAATTTACTAAACACAAACTATAAGCATCAGAATGTGAAAACTGCAAACTATGAACGAATAACACGTGAAACTCTCAGTTGGAAGGCTACATTGTTACTGGTAAAAATAGCAAACTCAGACAAGATCTTCCTTGTCACTTATTCTGGAGTGGCTGCTCGTGCATCTCCATGTAATCTCGAACATCTTTCCTTCCATATGTAGTTGATCCCCATGATCCACACAAGTCTGCCTACAATTGCTTTATCAGTTTGCTGCAGCCACTGCTGCTCTGCCCACTGCATATGAGAACTCCAATAAGCAAGCATAGGAACCACACAAACTTCATTCAGAACCTTCTTCATGACTGCCTGACAAAATGAGCAACCACTAAATAAATGATCTCTGTTCTCCACTCCCCCAGGGTATAACACATAGTTCATATTGCATACCATGCCCCAGCTTGCTAGTTTATCTCCAGTTCTGATCCTTCCTAAGATGATCAGCCATAAAAGCAAACTGTGTTTAGGGTAAAGTGGTTTATCCTAAACTATATGATGCCATGAGACAATTGCAAGGGGCACCCTGATTAATTCCCAAACCAGCTTCACAGAGTACTTAGCCAGTTTGTTACCATTCAAGTCAATGTTTCCCCTGAGCCTGTTATGAAAAGTTGAGCTTTGCTTCAACATTTTAATATCTTCTTCCACACCCAGGTATTCCTGAACTTTCTGAAAGAAGCCAGATGATCCTTCCTTTAATCCTATTGATGTGAAAATTGTTCACGTATACTATTTTCTTGTAGAACAAATAACAATTAAGATCACGAAATCATGCAAATACATATGCAAGAGTCCTAGTGACACGCTAAAACACAACAGCAAACTACAACCAAGTGCAATCACAGTCTGGAAATGCAGTAAGTGGCAAGCTCTATTTGTCAACCCGGGGCCTAGATTTACTGCCTACTCCGTGATTATTTATTATCTAGCAAACTAAGTCGAGTGATTGTGGTTTTAATTAAAAGCAGTAAGAAAGCAGGAAATGGTTCAAAGTTCTTTAGCAAGGGGAGAGTCACTCGGGAATGATTCCCCCCAGCTTCTTAGTTAGGTCACAGTTGTAATTACCCTGGGTTGATTAACTGTTGATTAAACTGCGGAAGATCCGACAGTAGCGTGGAATCTCTTAAGCTGACCAAGCCCTCTCAGACAGGCTAACCGGCAGGCGACTAACCTTCACCGGGATAGACTGCTGAGGCAATAAACACAGAACTCCACTACTGGAATTGGGTTCCAGTACAAAGCAGTAAATCGATTAACTCTCGTATAACCAATCTATCACTACCGATTGATGAAGCTCTAACAACCTAATCAGATTCTATCTATCTCAGGTTGCAGCAGAAATCAAGAAAAGATGATCAGACTTCAATTGACTCAATGAATCATGCATCAATCGATTATAACCAATCAGTATAACAATCCCAAGTCACTACAATCAAGATCCATAACACATGGAACTAGGGTTCTTCATACCCAAGTGAGAGAAAGTTCTACTCCATAGAGAGAGAGAAAAATAGAAATCAGAGTAGTCATACTCATAAAGATGAGGAAAATCTGCTATGGGATGATGATCTTCACTAGGGCTGGATTTCGGTTTTTTCGGTTATAACCTATAACCGAACGGTCGGTTACCGGTTAACCGCGACACAAGTGAATCATACCGCCAACCGACCGACCTCCTTCCTCGGTTATCCGACACCGGTAACCACACCGGTCGGTTACCGGTTAGTTGGTCGGTTAACCGAGGAAACCGCACTTCTGGCAAAAAACAAAACACCATTATCATATCCCACAAGTAAACAAACATATACTACCACATGAACTAGACAAGTAAACGAACATAATGAAATTGTCAATTTGTCATCATTTCCCCCACAAGTGAACCTACATATACAATTAAGTTTCAAAAATAAACCAACAGAAACCCCAAATCTGGGTTCTTCAATTTCCAAAATCTGTCGTCAGATTGTAGTGGTTCGGGGAGGGAAATGGTAGCGGTGAACTGGTGAAGTATCAAAATTTACATGATTTGGCTTTACAACAGCAGCCAACAGGAGCGCAGTTCGGGAAGGGAAATGGTGGCGGTGCAGGCCTGCAGGGCACTGTTCGCCGTGAAGGAAGGGCGGCGGCGGAGCTCTCGACGGGGGCTGGGTCGTACAGCGACTTTGCCGCGCGGGAGGAGGAGGACTGCGAGGCGGTTGCGTCTCCTGCGAGGCGCGAGCAGAGGAGGCCGAGGAAATGGACGATGGTGGCGCCGAGGCGAGTTCGCGCAGCAACGAAAGGCGGCGGCGGCGACGTTGTTTTCCGGCGTAGCAACAGAGCGGCAGAAGAGAGAACGAGATGGGTGGGAACTGGGGAAGGATTCGCGAAGGCGAAGCAGCCAACAAGGGCGGCGGGGCGGGTCTGGTGGTCTGGAACTCTGGATTAGGTCTGTTAGGGGTAGGAACTTAGTACGCAGAGGGTGGGCGGCGTCGTTTTGTTGGGTAAAACGTGGAGGGTTTTTGTGTTTCGGTTAGCCAGTTAACCGATGATTATTACCGTCGGTTAGTCGGTCAACCGACACAGCAAGAAACGCATCCGACAACCGGCCGACGAGTTGAAATTTTGATTATCGGTTAACCGGTAACTGCCGGTTATCGGTTTAACCGGCCGGTTAACCGGCAACCGATAACTGAATGGCCAGCCCTAATCTTCACTCCTATGATGATCTCCAAGCTCGATTGATGAAACCAAGCTCCAAAATCACCTCTAGGATGTGTTCTTTGCACTTTCTCTCTCTAGGGATATGTTTTTTGCTCAAAAACTCGATTCCCTCCGCTTTGGCTCGAAATTGGGTTAAAACCCAGAATTTTCCGACCACAAGGCCAGGCCACACGACCGTGTGGCTTTCTAGTCTGCCCGTGTGGATGTGAAAACGCCGCGTTTCGATTAGTGGACTTCAGGCACGCTGCACGGCCAGAGGCACACGGCCGTGTGGATTTCCAGTATGCCCGTGTGACCTCCCGGACTTTACACACGGCCACAAGGGGTCCCATACACGGCCAATGTGGCTTGGCCGCATAATGGGATTCCACACGGCCACACCACACGGCCGTGTGGCTGCTAGGTATGGCCGTGTTGATTCCTCAGCTCCTCGCCAGATGTCCAACTTTCGTCCAATCGACCCGAAAATCGCTCCCAAACCTCCAATCACGTACTAGGACCTGAAATAACACAAACGAGAACAACCTAGCTTGAAATCGGCCCAAGATACGAGAAATGAGGCTCAAACGACATAAGAATGGTGGATAAAAACATGTGTATCTATCAAGTCATCACCTAGCTGACATAATTCACTGTCTCTCCTTAAGGAATCTTATTCCACCTAGTACCCAAATTTATGGAATGATTCCTCCCAGGATAGAAATGACTTACCTTTTCCAGCATAGCGGTACCTCAAACTCCGAAAACCATCGAATGCAGCAAACCAACGAGAACCACACTTGACTCAATATTCTCTTCGAAAAGAATGGAGATAACTAGTTTTGGATTTTAGCAGAGTTTTGGTACCGAAAAAATGTGTATCAAAACCAAAGGGGTTATGTGCCATTTATAGAAAATGAAGGGGTGCGTATGAAAGGAGGTGACTCTTCATATGGGTGGTTACACCCCAACTAACACATTGATTCATTTTCAAATAATGAACCATTGCATCGGTTCGGCCCATGGTAGTTGGACCGGTTTGGTTATTCCAACCGCCACATCGGTTTGGTTCGATTTGGTTCAACTCAATTTGGTTTGGTTAGTTACACAAATCAATATTAACGATTACCAACATATTACATGTAAATTGATCGAATTCGTGGCCACGCCTTCCCATAGCTTACCAACATGGTACTTCAAGAGATTCCCCTTTCATTTCCATTCACATAAAACTCCGAACAATCCCCCACATGAATGGTGAATGTTGTATTTTAAAAACTATGCAAAAAAAAACTAGTGTAATATTTTACTAAGAATTAGTTGCATCGGGATAGGTAGGTTTCCCTTTGAACCTTCCTTAGTGAACATATACCGTGCATACTCACCAATTAGTAGATGTGGTATATCTTTGAGCCGTCGGTTTTACTTGTATACTAAGACAATATATGTCACACAAATAACTCTTATCCGTTCACTGGTTCTCATTGTTTTGTTTGTTTTAGCCATGAACACCACCTGGTCTTAGGAGTGCTTAGAGAACTGGCCTTCTTTTATTCTTGTTGAAGTGGCTCCACTTCATACTCACATAGGTGATTTCTAAACGTGTATTCCGAAAATACACTATTTGATCACAACACATGTCAAACCTAGAAACCATTAAAAACCTTTCATATTTAGGTTTACCCTTGTTTTGGACATTTTCTCATCATGAGAATGGACTTTGAATAAGTTGACAATGTCGGAGCATCATTCACAACTTTGTTTGCTCCTTGAACTTAGAGGTCGGCTCTGCCAATCCTACTTAGGTAGAGTTATCGCCATGATGGTTTGTCCTAGGCCAAGAATCCATTCCCTTTGATGCTTTAATTAATTTCTAGGTCGGCCCCATGTTTGTTATCATTTGATCTAAAATGATCAACTTAGATAACTTCTCTAGAAATAAACCAATAAATATTGTTATTTTTACATTATCTATGACGATATTTTCACATAACACTTCTAGCCCATGCAATAACAACTTTGTGCACAAGTGCGTTGTATTAACGCTAAGCTTTGCGGGCCATACTATCGAACTTCACTGGTCTTAAAATGAGTATATATAGTTTAACTTGGACGTTTCCCAAGATACTGCTCCCCATCAACCATAAATGAATATCCATTAATAGATTGCCTTTTGTTTATCCAGGGAGTTCCCTTTGGGTACAATACACCAAAGACTCGTCTCTTTCGATTCACTACACATCATGTGTCCTTGACTTGATTTGTTTACTTGCAATAATCATAAGACATGCTAACGGTGTTGAAGTATCTCTACTTCATTAACCTTAGAGTACTTGATCTTCACAAGTATCTCTTCAAATGTAGTGGCATTTATGACTTAGCTTAGGGTTTACGTAAAACTCCTAAGTATTCACATCATTTCACTTTGGAAATCACCCAAGTGACATTCTACATCACTTCTCCCCAATTTATCCACCACATTTCAACTATTTCACTATAGTTGTTGAAAACAAAGTTTCCAGTATGGGGAATGTTGTTCATATACCTTCATGTATATGACTAAATCATTTTCTCTTTGGGAAGAGTGTACTAACATCCCTAAGAAATCTTATTTGGATTTCTTAAACTAGCTCTCTGACATAAATGTCAACATATGCTAGAGTTTACTCATAAGTTAATCCTTGGACTTGGTTAACTCCACAAGGTTTATGGACTTGTGCTTTCTCACTGGACACCTTCATACTTTCAAGTATGGATTGTTTTACCTTCTCACTTTTGTCTTATGGATAGGTTTGCATCCCATTGTAGGGTCTTGAGATAGTAGCTGAAACAATGGCTAGCTCTTCTCCCCCACAATTCTACCCTTTGCCAAACATCATGGAATAATACAAATATTTTTCTGTAGTTTGAAATTGACAACCACTATATGTATCTAATTGCACTTTCGGGTATTTGTGCAAGGGCGCCACCGATTGCCGATTTTGGATGGATCTCTGTCCGAGCCGGATGCCACTGCATCGGCTAAAGCTCGGTCTGACTGGGTTATTGACAATGCCCAAGTTATTTCGTGTCTCTTGTTCTCGATGGAGCTAGCTATGGCGCTGAGTCTCCGGGGCTTTACTAATGCTCATGCAATGTGGCAACATCTTCATAGTATTCATTCTCAAGTTAATGTCTCTCTGAAGTTTGAGCTTGAGGTCGAGATCGCCTCCCTGCAGCAAGGTGATCTTGATGTGCGTTCATATTATCAAGTTGCTCTGAATCTATTAAAGGAACAAGATATGTTGACTACTTCTCTAGTGTCTGCTGCAGCCTCTCTCGAGGTCTTGAAGAAATGTGCGAGCACTCGCCTCATGCATTTTCTTATGAAGCTCAACCCAGCATTTGAAGGGGTTCATTCCTCCCTACTTCATCGTAACATTAGTACCGTTGAGGAAGTTCTTGCCGAGTTAGTTCGCAAAGAGACTCGTCTTCGCAGTCAGGCAAAACTGGTTCTCCACTCCTCTGATTCTGGGTCTGCATTTGCAGTTCAGTCAAGACATCCTCAGTTTGGACGCAATTCTACTGGAGAGATCATTTGCTAACACTCAAAGATCGTGGCCATGTACAAGTTCTTTGTCCAAAAAAAACTGTGTGCAATTATTAGAAAGCATCCGGGCATCTTATTGGCGACTTCCCCGTCTTGGCGCGTCGAGGCTGCTCCCGCGGGTCTGCCGCACGTCATTCTGTTGCAGGGTATCGCCCACCTGCTGGTCGCGTTCCTTCCGGCAGTGCCTACGCGACTACGTTGGCGACTCCAAATCCTTCTACTACTCCTGCTGCGAGCTCGACTTCCTCCTCAGGAATCTCTTAAGATGACATATGCCGGCTGATACGTGAGACTCTCCGAGACATGGTTTCTCCTGTTCTCACCACCGCATATGCGACGGGTATGCCTTCTTCATCTTCCTTCCCCTGGCATGTTGATTTTGCCGCCGTAAACCATATGACTAGTCATCGATCCTCCTTCCTAGTATTCGTCCTAGTTCTGGTCTCTCTTTACAGGTGGCTAATGGCACCACTATTTCTGTTGATGGGGTTGGTTCTGTCTCTAGTGAACAGGTGTATTTTCCCCATACATTTTACGTACCAAAATTGGTTCCCAATTTGGTCTCGGTTGGTCAACTTGCTGATGAGGGCTGTCAGGTTGTGTTTGATGCTCGTGGTTGCATTGTGCAGGATACAGGGACGAGGATGGAAGTCGGGAGAGGGAGTAAAAAGGGACGGGTGTACATGCTCGACAGTTTTTCTCATCATCCGATTGATCGTGGTGGACCTACTTCTGTGGGGATGGCGGTTGCGGGTCATGAAGCCTATGGAGTTGTTGAGCCTGTTCATTCTTTATGTTCACCTTTATCTTTTTGAGATTTTGGATATTCAGTTCAGTTATTGGATTGGGATTTGTGGAATTTTCGTTTGGGTCATCCTCATAAGTCGAGACTCTTTGATATGTTTAAGAATAATTGGTTGACTAGTTTTGTCAGATTGATTCCTCCTCATGATTATATTCATTGTGTGGAAGCTAAACTTTCTCAGCGATCTTTCAGTGATAGCTCTACTGTTTATTCTGATCCTTTTGACTTGGTTCACACGGATCTATGGGGTCCATCACTAGTGATCTCCCGTTTGGGGTTTCGGTATTTTGCTCTCTTGGTGGATCATGTTACTATGCCTACTTCTTAAAGCAAAAATATGAATTGATCAACGTGGCCAGATAATTCCTGCAGATGGTCTCGACACAGTTTGGTAAGACCGTCAAGATCCTTCGGTCTGACCCTGGTGGTGAGTTTCTATCCCACCCCTTACATGATCTGTTCCGTCAGTACGGTATTCTTCCTCAACGATCATGTCCTGGGGTATCTCAAAAGAATGGGTTGGTGGATCGGAAAAATTGTCATGTTCTTTTGCTTACTCGTGCCTTGCTATTTCAATCTCGGGTTCCTCCTTGATTCTGGGTTGAAGCCATCCATACTGTGGTCTATTTGATCAACCGCCAAATAACTCCCATTCTTGAGCAACGTAGTCCAAACCAGACTCTGATACCATGTCAAACTCAATCACGATCAAATACGAAACAACGCCAGACACTCGATTTACGTGGTTTCTCCAACGTTAGAACGTTGAGACTAGTCCACGTCACAAGGCATTCAGTTCTCTTATTGTGCAGAATTCTCCGAGAGTACAGTGGTCTCTAATCGGCTACACATAAACATATATATAGCTATCCCTCATAACCCTATGGTATTAAACATCCTTGAATATGTTGACTTCATACATGTAGATGATGATAAAATGGATATGTTGTTTGAGTTCTTGAAACAAAATCATGGTATTAAAGTGATTGAGGTGTATAGGAGTTATAAGATGTAAATAGGCGGAGATTGATAATCCCTCCTTGCTTGCACCTTCTTATTTCTCCTTTGGTGGATTGAATCTTCAATGAAGCTCTTCTAAGGTGTTTCCCCTCTCTAAAAGACTCCAAAATCCTAAATTTCTCAATCTAGGGCGGCTCTCCTTTGTCAAGTGCAGAATAGGGAGTATTTATAGGCTGATGGCAATGGTCACAACCGTGACCAGGCCATGACTAGCTTGAACGTCTTCGAATCGCCCGAAATGGTTCATTTTTTCCGTCTTTAAGTTTCGAGATTGCAGCATCCTTCATGAGATCACAATTGCAATCTATGTGTCCCGGGCGCGATTTTTTCAGCAGCCCAAATGCACCATGTCTGCGATGTGGGTGTCAAAACTTTCTGATTCTTCTTGATCGCCTGATGAGGTTCACGACCGCTGTTCATAGATGCGATCTTTAGGCCACGAACATTATCATGGCCTATTGGCCACTGCCGTGACGTGTGGCCGTGACTTGTACCTTTTTCCCCTTCTTGCTCCTACGCTTCCCAATCATGATCGGATGAACTCCAATCAAATCCTTATCAATCCCAAATGATTATAAGACCTGGAATTTCATCACAAACGCTGGGAAAAACATAAAATATGACAATGTGTGGTTGGTTCCCCTACGAAAACCTTCATATAAAGAATACCTATACCAAAATACATTTTTTGCAAATAGGAACGAAAATGAGCACAAATAACTTGATATGTGGCCTAGAAATGGTGATTTAACATGCAAAAGCCTTAAGAATAAGGGTTCAATATTGGATTTTCATACCAATATGACAGTTGTGAAGGATCTTCTCTTCAGTATCATGTTGGTGCAAAAACTAATGCATGATACAACCAGATAAGATGCAACCTCACAATGATAACTCAGAGATTCCTTCTACACCAGTTTGGGATTAGTCGCCTCCATTCCAATTGAATATTGGACTTCCGAGAAAAAATTTATTCCAATTGGCTTTGAAACGGGAAGGAATAATTCAAAAAAATTAGTTATATTCTCACGAATGCAACAACAAAAGAATTTCATGTTCAATAAAAAAGATCGATGTGGTTGGAATGTTCGAGCTACATTGATAGGTGATAGGAAATTATGGATTTTTTTAAGTGCAGAACAATGGCAGTTGCAGCTCAGGTATACTTGCCGAAGACCATCGCCAACTTGATTTCAATTTTTCAAATTAGAAAATCAAGCACTTTTTTTTACCAAGCACTTGGAGGCACAACCAAACGTCACCATCAAAGTGATATGAGCATAAATTCAAACACACATGTCATTCACAATCAAGAACAAGAAGGAATGAGATGAAAACAAAAGCCATGGAAGAAGTGTACGGTGGTTGGGTCAAGTCCCACGCCTATGTCCCTTTTCTCACCAAATAAATTGAGAATTGGTAATCCCGAGTTAGTTTTTGAATATTATTTCAAAAAATTTAGAACTCTTGACGACCAAATGGTGCATGGAAAACTAATTTATTATAATTTTCTAGACATTTAAACTATGCATCTACTGGTTCCCCCATCGTGTCCCTAATATCTAATTTAACGGAACATTCATAACGAGCAAGTATATAGGATGTTGGCTAATAGCCAACAGTGTTAATGAGAGCAACCAAATATCTCCACCAGCGTTTGTTGTGTTAGAAGCTGAAAATAAACGTAGTTGGAATGGTTCTTTCAGCATTGCAGAAGCATGAAACAAACATTATGACTTTGCTTTTATTTCTGATTGACATATTCTGGTTGCTCATGCTAGAAATGTTATTGATTCAAAACTGAATTGAATGTAATGATGGTGCTTTCAACATTTCACTAGCAACTATGGAGAAAATGAGGTAGAAAGTACGTCAAACAAATTTTGTGATGGGAACTCTTCAATTACTTCTCATATAAGTTACTTGGTATTACTAATGTTGTTTTTTCTACTATCACAATATGTGTGGCCTTCCAACCCCGCATTTTACATGCCAAAATGCAAGAAATTTGAAATATACATAACGATGGTGGAAATTGGCAATTAATAATTATGAACCAAGGATGATAGTGGATATAGGTGAGGAATTGACACAACAAATAACGCAGACAACATTAATGGTTTGTTCAAAGGCATCTATGCAATGTAAATTTAAGCCTTAGTTCAACACACATTCTTGAGAACCGTGACATATTTTGTTGACAAAATGGATATAAGCACCAAAAACCCTCAAAGTTTTCAACAATTCCCAAATGAATATAAGAAGTTGTTTGATGACTAGGAGAAAAGAGCCAATGGGAACAAAGTAATGCCTTACAACATGCGTGGTGGAGTATTTGTGATTAAAACAGGTGTCGTTTGATTGTCAATGTAGGGGGAATCCTCAAAAGTTAATACGAGAAATGCATAATACACCATTTCTTAGTACTATGTTTTATTTAAGTTTTTAAGGCATCTTCTTCCCATGAAATTTCTAACACTCTTTCTCAAATTGGGGTAGGGGCATTAGGTGTTGGATGAACCCTTGATGAGGTAGGCAGAACCACTAGGATATGGTAGGGAGGGTAAGGAGGGTACCCTTAGTGAGAAGAACCTTGCCCATGATCTTGGTAATGAGGGCACCCTTGGTGGGAAGAAGAACCCTGCCCTTCCTCTTGGTGAAGAGTGTAACCATGGTGAGGGTAAGGAATGTACCCTTGGTGGGAAGAATTCCTGTAGAGGGTAACTCATTATATTATGAGATGACCTTGTAATCATAGGTTTTAGTTGACACAAACCTAATAGATGAAATAATAAAATAGAAACGTAGGCAGATATGAATAATAGAAATAAGAGTATTGACTCGCCGATACCGTTACACTAGAAAGTGGTCAAGTGTAACCACAAACTAATGTGTAGTATAGCAGGTTTAGCTTTATTTATCAACCCGAGTCCTAGATGTGATGACTACTCCGTGAAATTCTTGTTATCCAGCCATTTAAGTGTAGTGAAGTTGTAACTAATCTAAGAAAACACAAAGCAGTAAAGTTGTGATTCAAGTTCGAGAGAGGTTACCTATATATGGTTCCCCCTAGATTGCAGTTAAGCCGAGTTGTAATTCACCAAGTCCAAATATAATGATAGTTATACTGCGAATTATTTAGACTCTCCCAGTCTGAATACCCGGCGGGCGATTAACCTCCACCGAAATAAACAACTAAGGCCCTAGCATGCAAAACCTCCTATACTAGATAAAATCTAGTGCAGTGAATTGACTCCTAGACTAAAGTAGTCAATTCACCAACTTCAATTGAGGGTTCTCTATCAACCTATGCAGATATTATCTTTCTAGGTCAAAGCAGAAACTACAAGAATGTGATCAAGATTCATGCAATTCATAAACAATGACTCAATTGAATATAATTAGTATCAAAAGACCATGTTGGGTTCATACAATCAATTTAACATATAACTCTAGGTTTCTTCATACTCAGGTAAGAGAGGGAATTTAATCCATAGAGAGAGAAGATAAATTAGCTTCAGATGCAGAAAATCATCACGCGGAGGATGTAATTTAGCTTCTGGTTGACAATCTATGCTTCTCCAGGCTTCAATCGAGCTCCAATAGTGTCAAAGCTCAATCTAGGTCACCTTGGAGGTTGGGTCCGTCACTTTGTATCTCTAAAACTCTGTTTTCAGCTCTCCAACTCGGATCCCCTTCTCAAAGACCCAAAATTGGGTTAAAACCTAGCTTTGCCCGATTAGACAGCCACACCACACGTCGTGTAGAAATCTAGTTTGCCCGTGTAACTCCCAATACGCGGCGTTGCACTTAGTTGGTCGAGAGTAGTCACACGGCCGTGTGGAATTCAGCCTTTCCCGTGTAACTTTCCTCGAAAACCCACACGGCCAAAGGGTGTCCTTGCACAGCCAGTACGGGTATGGTTGCGTGATTCCAGTTACACGACCATATTTCATAGCCGTGTAAAATCGGCTCTACCCTACGCATGGCCACATTGCACAGTCGCATAAAATCCTCAGTTTTCCGTCGAACTTCCTAACTTCGTTCAATCAACCTCGAACTCATGCCCAAGCCTTCATTCATGTACTAGAAACTAAAATGTCACTAACAAGAACAACCTAGCGTGAAATCGGATTAAAACGCGAGAAATTAGCCTCGCACAGTATAAGAATGGTGGGCAAAAACATATGCAAATATGGAGTCATCAAGTATATATTTCTAAGAACATAATTACGAGACGCATTTACCTATCAACGTAAGCACTAGTCTCCTCTCGGGGATCAACAACTTCCCATAATGGCAGTTTGAGGTTTGGATAAATGGATGGAAACTGACACCATCCCCGAATTTGGAGGCAAAAATGGACATCACCTATTTTTTAAACTTTCAAATTAAATGACAGATCGCTCTGATATAGTGAAATGATGATAACACTCCATTTATAGTGTTATCACTCCCATATTTGACACATTTTCTCATTTTATCAATGCATCTTTATCAATTTTACTCATAATTTCATATATGAATATAGCAAGCCCCTAACATACCTAGGAAGGCCTAGGCATTTTAGCATTTTTTCTCTCTGAAGCTTATGCTTAACAGCTATATGGAAAGAAAGGTGCTAAAGGGTTAATGGTGATGCTTATATAAGTGCAATGGTGTTAGGAAAGCCTATAGTGCAAGATTTGTGTACTTAAGCTGCATAAGAGATCATGTAAATAGCGACCTTATTAATTTGAGCATTCATTATAATATGGTAACTAATCAGTATTTATTGGAGAGGTGATGGAAAATGAGGGGGTTTGTCCCCTCATTTGGTTATTTTACCATGGGATTATTGCTCTTTTCTTTGTAATCAAGTTTTCTTGGAATGAAAGCAACTAGTTCAATGGAAAAACAATTTTATAGCACATTTTTTTCTTTAGTTTAATTTTAAATGATTGCTAAACTAGCTAATCCTAAATAATAATCAATATAAGTCATGACTAAGAATTGAAATTAAAAATCGAGGAATGAGTGGAGGATGCGTTGAATATTGGACAACTAGATATGACATCATTTTGGGAAGATTAGCTACAATTCTTTACTTCTTGGTCTACTAGCACAATTAAAGTGCAATTAAAGTGTGCCACACTGCTTACAAGTAAAAGATTAACCATTTTGAATAATTGAATTTCAATTTCAGCATTATATCACCAATAAAGTTGGATGGCCCTAGCTTTATGGGTCACACCTAGTCCCATGAGTCAAGGGATGACATGAAAGTGGAATCATAACCTACTTACCCACAAAAAGGTGATTATAAACCCTCATATTCTACAATTTGCGCTTTAGCAGAACGAGTGGTTGTAGGCTTGCAACCCTTTTTGTGCGATAGCAGTCTTGTTATGAAACAACAACCTTCGTATCTTAAACAACCTTAGGGCAATACTTGGGCAAGGAGCTATTGTCTTAACGTTGGACTTTAATAAGGGAAAAGGTTTTGCGGCTTTCATCGCAGTGGAATCATACCCTACTCTACCAACATTTCCCCATTTTCGACCATGATTATATTGTGTGCTTCCCTCATCATATTTTCAGATCTTTCCCCTACCTGTATACATCAAGTTGGGTCGAGAGAACGTAGAAGAGGATGATTGCTTGGTGAAATGGATGTTTTGTAGTGTGTCCATTGATTGAGGTTGGGGTGCCCTTTACTTGTGCCATGGTGCATTTCAACCAAATGTGGTTGTCTGGATCGACATTGGTGTCGACTTCCACATCTACTCGCCTTCGTTGCTTTGGATACGGAAAGAACTAAAGTGTGAGGTGATCAATTGGGCTTCACCCAATGCCACTCTCTTCAAAAACGCCTCATGATGATACATGATAGGCGATTATTAATCTTTTCGCAACCACCCTTATTTTTGGGAGAGTGAGGTTGTCTCCATTTAACCTTCATGCATTTTGGTGACACTAGGGCCTTGCCTATGGCATGTCATCTAGCATTATTAATTGGGTGTCTAATCCTCTCGGGTTAGACTACCCCATGAGAGCATCTTTGCTCGAACCTCTTAGGTTTTGCCATAGAGGAGGAGATGGCGCACTTTGCTCACTCTGTTTTACACTTTTCATTGTTCGTACAAACCAAACAACAAAGAACAATTCGACCGACTTGGATTTCTCGGAATTAGGGTAACCTTACCTCCTTTTGTGGTCCAATGAGGACATTGTCCCATTTAAAGTTTGGGATGGGATTTCGGTAGATTGTTCTTAATCTGATATACCATATTCTAATTGCTCATGCATATGGTAAATGATGCTTCTCACCCAGACACGTAAAATTTCACAAACCTTGATTTGGAGAAAATTTCTGGTGAGTCATTAGTCGACAACATCTGTGATCCAATTCACAAAACGCTTCACGGCAGTGACTTTGGTTGTGAACCTCTCAGCCAATGTAGTCAAAATCGCGCCTTAGAACTTAAAAACTTACGATTTACGTTTCTAGGTCACTAAAACGCTTCTACACAAAATCTCAATTTTTATAAATTATGTAGTTTAAAACTCCGCTTTAAAACTTAAAAACTTACGATTTTACGCTTTTAGATCACCAAAACGTTTCTACATAGAAACTCGCTTTTGACTACATTGCTCTCAACAATTATTTTCTCAAATTGTCACTTTGGGGTTTCCTTCCCTATTTTGCATGGATGCATCATGCCCATAAGGAGGCCCGTGAGAAGGACGGGATGGTCCTCCAAAGCAAGTCACATGCCTAATATGTGTACTGAGGAAAATTTTGTGTGTGCATTTGCGCATAAAATTCGAATCTCTAGTAATGACACACAATCCTTGTCGTTAGTCAATGAATAAATTTGAAGGGACCTTGTCACCGATTAGTTCAGGTAAATGCTTCGGCACAAGGTGGGATCTAACGAGATAAGAAATCGACAGCTTCTATCATAGAGATCCCGTGGTTAGGAGACTTAGGTAGAGATTTGAAGTGAAGAAATCCGAGTGAATTCTCCATAGGTAGCAGGCGACATTCTTTATAGCATTTTGTAACACTTTTTTGTGGCGGGTGATCAGTTTTGGGTAGAGATTTGATTTGATTTTGGCTGCTTGGTGTTCAAGGGAAAGTGTGTGTGTGTGGGGGGGGGGGGGGGGGGTCAATGGTTGTTTTAGGTTGCAATTGCCGGTTTCCTCCTTCCCTAGTGAGTGTACTATACCATGGGTCCAATTGGAAATAGCAAACATATAGGAAAGACTTGAAATAGTTAGGTTCTTTCACCTTTTGTTCTTTGTTTGATCCATGATAACGACCAATTAGAGGACTTGCGTCGAATAGAACTGTTTTTTGGGTAATATGCCGAATTGCAGTCACTAATGGTTTAATCCACCTAGACACTACCATCAAGATGCAAGCCTACCTTGAGATCGATTTATTCGACTTTGAAGTTCCCCACGACTATCTAACATACTAGATTGTGGCCCGGATTGGCCTGGTGGTTTTCATTATTGTAATTTGATCTTTTCTTTGAAAAATAATTGATATTCGTATAATATTCTTTACAATTCAAAATTTTAGTGAACAATCTGAAAAGTCAAAATTAAGTATAAAATTTAAATTTCAAAGTAAGAAAATTAAATTCCATCTTAAAGTAAGAAAAAAAATCCCATATTAAACTACACGGGGCGTTTCTAAGTCAACATGCATGACATTATTCGTACTCAAAATGATGGTGTGTATCTTCAATAATTAACTCTAGACTATCAACGCTCAATTTTTGGACTGAGTTTCCATTAAGGGTTGATCTTAATATACATCATAATACACAAATATATGTTTATAAAATCATTATCTAAATTTGAAATTTATGAAGTCTTTGATTTATACTTGAACTGAACGCTTTATTAATGTTTCTGGGTTGTTATACCGAGTATTTTATGATTCAAACGGTCTCATATAGGTTAAGTGTCCGATATTTTTAGCCATTTTTTATTGTTGATCTTGTAGAAGGTATTGTTGTATTATGATATAGCTATTAATTATTAATTTAAACAAAATAATGACTTGGACTAAAGTTAAGCCCAACCATGTAAAAGTAAAATAACTTGTATTTGAAAAAAAAAAGAAATACTAAAAAGTTTGCTTCAAAACTCTTTGATGGATAAAAAAAATATGATGACTTGTGTTTTAGTGGTTAGTGGGACTAAAAAAGAAAAGAAAAAAAGAGCTAAACATGAGTAGGTTAATTAGACAAATCTGGGAAAGAAAAGAAAAAAAATTTGAAAGTGGAACATGCGAATAGAGGAGAGGGGAATGGACATATTAGCCCCTCCGAAATGTAAGGATAGCCAGCAGTGGCTGATGTGACAAACTGAGTTTTTTCTTACATTGTCTTATAGATATATTTAGATTAACAACAACTAAAAGGTCAGGTACTCAAGTTTTGAATATGTCTGTAGGAGTGATACAGGTCAAGTACTAAAACTGTTGAATATGCCTGTAGAATGTGTAGGAGTAGGGAGTATGCAGTGCTCACTCATTATAAAATAACCCCCTTGGGATATATCGAATGAGCAAAATCAATTAGATCATATTTGCCTTAATGTTGCCACTTTGCCTTTGTTATTATCTTTGAGGACCTTTCTAAGTATTTTACTTGTAACTTAGTTACACTAAGTTGATATGTAGATGGGATATATTAGGAGTTGATGTAGTCGGCGCTACATATATGCGCAGACACCAAAACCTGCTGCAAGAAATAAATTAACCTGAGAGCTTCGGCTCTCCGTGGAGTAGTCTCGTTCTTATTGAACGGGGAAACCATGTAAATCGTGGTGCGTGCTTCTGCGTTTGAGTAGATTTTATATAGTATCAGAGCCTGATTTGACTAAGTGCTCGTGTGTTTAAATCTCCACGACACCCAATATTAACAGTTTATTAAAGCACAAGATATGGCGGGCCTATACAAATTTCAAGCCCGTGAGTTGGCTTTCGTTTGAGGGGACTTGTTAGATGGTGATATAATATCCAACATATAGCCTTCTCCCAACAACTCGAGTTATTGCGACCAACTGGTTTATGACATGGTATCAGAATCTGGTTGTAATCCGAGCCTGCAGTTACAACTATGACAACCGGAGAAGATGGAGGCTCAGGTGGCAAGACCGTTATCACAAACGAGGATGTTATCTCGCTGACCTCGCCCCTCTATCTTCACCCATCTGAGAATCTAGGCCAATTATTTGGGAGTGATCTCTTGACTGATTCCAATTACTGCGAATGGGTGAATGATATGACTGAAACCCCAATCGCAAAGAACAAGCTTGTTTTTGTCGATGGTAGCTTTCCTCGATCCAAGGCAGGTCCGGGAGTCTGGGACGATGCTTGGGGACGGTGTGATGCCACCATGAAGGGATGGCTAAAGATAGCTATGAGTAAGGAAGTGAGAAACAACCTCTGTGTAGCTAAGACGACGCGTGATATATGGGCGGATCTTCAACAAAGATTCTGAAAGGGCTCAGCCGGGAGAGCCTACAAACTATGTATAAATATTGGTTCATTGAGGCAAGAGAAGTTATCTGTGTTTGCTTTCTACACAATGTTAATAACTTTCTGGATGAACTTCACTCGCTTATGATTTATCCATGTTGCACTTGTGAAAATTGTTCGTGCGATCCTGGGCGACAAACAGAGAGAAGGAGGAGACGGAGCGCCTATTTGACTTTCAGCTGGGGTTGGACGACGCATTCTCGGTTGTTCGCTCTCAAATTCTAAGTATCAAGCCAACTCCATCGTTAGCTAAATCATATCAGCTTATTGAAGCCGAGGAGCAACAACGTCACATCGTGAGCGGACGAAGTCCGCTGGTCAAGGCTGCAACGTTCCAAACATGACGCGACAAGGAAGTCGAGGAAGAGCCTATTCGCTGCAGTCATTGCAACAAGAAGGGTCACACGAAGGAGAGATGCTTCAAGTTGATTGGCTACCCTAATGATCAGGGAAAAAGGCCATTAAGGAGAGCGAGGGACTAAGGTCGACGGGGTAAGAATGAAGGGAAACCGCAGCACGTGCAGCGAACGCCGAGACTAAAGAGATTCCCATTCCAGGATTATCGACGGTGCAGTTTGCACAACTAAAGCAACTGCTTGCATCTCCTCCGCCTATGGTACTTGAACCCACTGTACACATGGCTGATAAATCTTCTAAACCTTTTGAATGGGTCATTAATTGAGGTTGTAATGAGCACATTGTACATGATTCAAGTTGGTTGAACGAGGTAGATACTATAGAACCCCATTTGCCTGTGCGCATTCCTGATGGCTTGAGTGTGCTAGTGAAAGGAGTGGGATCAACGGAGCTGACTCCAAAACTAAAGTTAAACCGAGTCCTCCTTGTGCCTAGCTTCAAGTGTAATTTATTATCAGTTAGTCGGCTGACGAAGGACAATAATGTGACCCTAAATTTCATCGCTAATCTTTGCGTGATTCAGGACTCACGCTCCAATACCATGATTGGAATGGGTAAACTGCGTGACGGACTCTACTACCTTAGAAGGTTTGGGGAGCTAGAAGCTCGACTTGATGTTAGGATGTCCGACGGTTTTGTAGGGGAAGCAAGACAGGTTTCGTCGAAAAGCTTCGTTCTTTACAGACTTCTTTGTCTTTGTCTTTTTCGGATTTCGAGCACGAGACGCAACATTGTGATTCATGTCTTCGTGCCAAACTCATTAGGGAACCTTTTGTTTCACATTTGATTAAGACCCTTGACTGTTTTGAGCTTGTGCACATGGATATTTGGAGTGGGGAGGCTATCGTACCCCTGCTTTGCATGGTTCTCGATATTTTTTGACAATAGTGGATGATTTCAGTTGAGCTACATGGGTTTATTTGTTGCGTTTTAAGTCAGATGTTGAACGATATGTTTGTCTTTTCTATGAAATGACTGAATTCAGTATAAGGGGCAGGTTCGTCGAATTCGGGCTGATAATGGTGGGAACTTCAGTCGACAGGGTTGCGTAAATATTATGAGGTCAACGAAATTCTGCTTCAGACATCTTATATAAACAAGCCCCAATAGAATGATGTGGCCGAACGGTAGCATCGCCATCTTCTAGAAAAGGCGAGAGCTCTCCGTTTTCATTTGGAGTTACCCGTCCACTTCTGGGGAGAGTGCGCGTTGACTGCAACCTATCTCATGAATAGGCTGCCCCCTAGTGTTCTTGGTAATCAGACACCGTTTGAGGTTTTGCTGGGTTGTGCCCCTTCTTATCACCATCTGCGGAATTTTGAATGCCTTGTTTACACCAATGATACTAGCTCGGGTCTTGATAAGTTTGTCGAAAGGGGGAGAATTGGTGTATTTGTTAGATATCCCGTGGCTCATAAGGGTTACATGGTTTTTTTTTATCTCAAGGCACGCAAGGTTATTACTTCGCACGACGTTCGTTTCGTTGAGGACAGTTTCCCCTACCGTGAGCGCCAGCTTGGCTTGCATGATCCCACGACTGCTGCTCCCCGCAACGTTCCATGCGGATCTCATGCTGGGCATGACCCTTTTGAGCTCCCTGATTATCCACACGTCGATAATGAGGTACATACCTTGCATGATGATGCTGATGAAGACTCACTCCAGCCGGCAACCGATACTCTGGCTCCTGACCAACTGATTCATCCTAGTGAACCTATAGTGTGTCGCGTCCTTCGTGAACGTCGCCCACCATGACACTTGGTGGACCTGTATGACACTTGAAAAACATGATATGAACTAGTTAGAAATAATGAGCAAAATATCATTCCAACATAATGTATACTAAATATGCTTGCAATCAATTCATCGTGGAAAATTTACTATACTTCTGTTTTAATATGCATATTAATCACATGTATCAAATATAGTACAAATTTTAGAATATCTAATTTATATTTAATTGTAGAGTTTAAGTTTGAGGTTCAACCATTTAGAATTATAAACGAGGTGAGCTCATTAATGAGCCGAGATCAAGTCACCTCGAGCCGAGCTTGAGCAAAAATTTTACTAAACGAGTCGAGCTAAAGCTCGACTCATTTTTTAATGAGCTGAGCCTAAGCTAGGCCAAAACTTGGTTCAACTCCCTATTCATAATAGAGTTGGGTAGTAACCACACAATTATCACTTAGTACAATACGACCACTAAAGATTAATTTTACAAATTTCAATAAAATACGTTTGGACGTATAACAAAGTGATCATTCCTTCAATTTCCGTCCAAAATTCGCTAACTGAGCACAGTCAGCACGTCATGTCAACAAAATATAATAAAAAATTCAAATAAACCAACTAACTAAACCTCACCGAACCACATTCTACTCGCGCTACCTAAAAATTGTTGGAGACAGACTTGTATCTGTCACGAGGAAGGGGGGTTTAGGATAGGGTGAGTAACCATTGGTTACTAACTTATGAGTAACTAAATCTTGACCTTTAGATCTAAGTGGGTCCAGAAAATCCAGATCTAAGGGTTGTCAATTAAAAATATTTTATTGTCCCTAGTTTTCATAATCGGCTCTTATCTTCTTTGTTCGAACTCGGATTTCAAATTTTTTTTGCACACATGGAACAAGTTTGTTGTGCTCTACAAAAAATGAGATCAATTTTCAATATATTTTGAGAAGCTTTTTTTTTACCAACTACATACCATATGATAACTTCTTCGTTTTTAAGTCGTTTTTGAAAACGTTTGCTCAGAAAGAACGAGTTCATCATGATCTATTTGATCTACAAATTTCTGGGTGAAAAAAATACTAGACCAAAAATTACCATACTTTAGCACTATGGAATGTGGGTGGTAACTTATGGTAAACAATGATGAAAGTCGTAAATGACAGTTAGTATACTCCTACTATGATGTATTCAACTTTCTTACCATATGGTATTTATTAAATATGAGCATACCATATGGTAATGACTGGTAAAAATTTATTCTTTTTTTTGTACTAAAAATATATCAAAGTGGATATCAACTTAAAAAGCACATTTAATCCGATTTATCTGTGCAGAAAAATTTAAATTTCGACTTAAAACGAGAGAGAAATCGTCCATTAAAGATTAAAGGGAATGTGGACAGGTTGATGTCATGCGGATGTGGACAGGTTACTGATGATTACTCACCATATGAGTTACTGACCTGATCCGCTCACCAGCCTTCTGGAAATCTGACCTTTCCTATGAGTTGTGCGGTTTGGATTTTTGGCAGTTTAATAATCTAAACAAACCGACCCAATGGACATCAAACCGACAGGGTCTGAATTTTCACGGGTGGGTGTGGGTTAAATTTTTTTAAAACTGACAAACACAGGTTGGGTGGTCACAGTAGTCCAAAATCAACCCACCCGACCCATGTTCATCCCTACTTGTTTTAGGTGGTCAGAGGGAGTCTAACGGAGAAAATCTGGTCGGAAGGAGTTTGTCGGTGGGAGTATGACCGGAAGGAGTCTACAGGGAGAAGGCAAAAAAAAAATTGGGAAAGGAAAGACAGGACATAGGGACAGAGAAATGTTTCAAAAAAAATGTAATTGATATGGGTTTTTAATTTAAAAAAATTATTAAATACAACACAAATTTAATACCCACAATAATTATAATTAATAGATCGTGTCATTTTTCCAATCCGTTAGAGAGTAGTCAAGCAAACTCAACCCTGGAGATCCCATGTAAAACCAATAAGATATCATCTACTGAAGGTTCATAGGAAATCTGGAAAAAAATGCACTAACTACCTCATCAAGACCCGTGACAAACACCAAAAAGATTAGCCTAGTTGCCCCCAAAAAAAAGTCATACTTTCCCTCCTTACTCCTCTTCCAACCCTTATCCCTAAGTCGTGCCTCCAACAACAACCATCCATATCCAATTTTGTAGTTATACAAACATGGAGGTATTGTATTGTAACATTAACCTAGACCGTTATAATGCAATAATAAATGAGGAATTTTACCATGCTTTAAAGCATGGGCAAAATTTGGCTGCTGGCTGGGTTGTAGCTCTCCGCTGCTACCCAGCCACGTGGCTCCATGTGATTGGTTCAAGTATTAATTAATTATTAGGAGGATGCTGATTTTTGACGGAGGGCTTTTGGACGCGTTTTCTTTGACGGACCATGACGGAGGAGCTGACCGTTTTCTTTCAAGGTAATCACTTGGCTTTATTTTTTATTTTATTTATATTATTGTTATCAATTGTTATCAATTAAAGTGGGAATATTATTAAAAAATGTATTTTTCCTTTAGGGTTTTTTTGCGCATACGATCCTCACTCAATCGCCAACATCTGCAACTAGGAAAAGGGTCTCTTCTACTACTCCGACTGCCTCATCGCTAACGCTAGCTTCTCCGTGCTCCGGCAACCTTGCAATTAAGTTGTAAAGGTAATATCGGTTCCCACCACTGTATTCTTTGGATTTTAGGATTTTAGCAAAACTAATCAAACCAAAACATGATGGCTTTCCTTTGATATGAGCTGCTTTTGTATTGCTGTACAGAGAGATCACCACAACCAATATATATGAAATATGAAACTTTTCCTTTCTTTGTATATATGCTACGAAACAGGCTGTTAGTTCATTAGGTTACTGACAATTCAATTTGCTATCTTACAGGTTTGTGCTATACATGTCTATTTTATGAAACTTGAATGCTCTGCAAAGAGGAACACATATATGGCTTTGTTAAATTTATAGAAATTATTTTCTAATACACTTTCACTTTTCTCTCTGCCAATTTTGGGTGTCTATGTATATCACTATTAATCAAAATCAAATCTCCTTTGCTCTTTTAAATTCTTTTCTCCAGGTACAAATCATATGAGTTCTCAAACAAGTGTTGGAAAAGTTGAGGTGCCATGTATAGGTATGAAGTTCGATGGGGATGATAATGCTTATGAATTTTATAAAGCATATGCCCATAGTGTTGGTTTCAGTGTAAGGAAGGACTATATAAAGCGAAATCAAGCAGGCCAAGTGAAGAGAAGAATATTTTGTTGTTCTAAAGAAGGCAAAAAAGGTTTTGATAAAAGGCGCGAGCATGTGGCTTTTGAGAGACCAATTTCAAGAATTGGATGTTTAGCACAGATGACATGTCAACTAAAAAATGATGGCTTGCTAGAGGTTGTTTCTTTTGAAGCAGATCATAACCATGAACTCGCCCCCACTCCGATGAAGCACATGTTGAGATCCAACAGAAAGATAAGTAATGCTCAAAAAGCTATTGCAGATGATGCTGAGAGAGCTGGGTTACCAATCAAGGCAACTATTGATTTACTAGCAATACAGAATGGAGGTCGTGAACACAACGGGTTTCTAGATTCAGACTATAGAAATTATATTGCTACACAAAGAAGGGTTACAATGATTAAGGGAGATGGTCCGGAAATTATGGATTATTTTCATAAAGCACAATTAGAGGATCCATCATTTTTTTATGCAGTGCAGCTTGATGATGATGATTTTATCATGAATATGTTTTGGATTGATGGCAGGTCAATCATTGACTACAAGTACTTTGGAGATGTTATATGTTTTGATACCACTTATAGAACTAACGAATATGGTCGACCTTTTGCTCCATTTGTTGGAGTCAATCATCTGAAGCAGACAGTGATTTTTGGGGCAGCTTTACTTTATGATGAAACAATCACATCCTTCAAGTGGTTGTTTGAAGCGTTTTTGGGGGCAATGGATGGAAAGCAACCTAAGACCATATTGACAGATCAATCAGCTGCAATGGCCAAAGCAATTGAAGAGGTATTTACTGAAACTCATCATCGTTTATGTGTTTGGCATATTTATCAAAATGCTACTAAACACTTGAGCCATGTGTTTCACGGATCCGACCAATTCTCTAGTGATTTTAGTTCATGTATATATGATTATGAAGATGAAGATGAATGGCTTAAAGCTTGGGATGCTATGCTTAACAAGTATGATCTGGGGAACAATGAATAGTTGCATGGGATATTTTCAGTAAAAGAAAAGTGGGCTATGGTTTATGGACGTCATATGTTTACTGCTGATATGAAGAGTACACAACGCAGTGAATCAATGAATAGCGTGTTGAAGAAGTACCTGAAGCCAAAACACAATACGGTACACTTTTTTTACCATTATAATAAGTTGGTTGAAGATAGAAGGTACCAAGAACTACTTGCAGAGTTCAAAATGAGGGACACCCGACCAGTGTTAAAAGCCGATGTTGAGATGTTAAGGCATGCATCAGAAGTGTACACTCATAAAGTCTTTAAGTTGTTCGAAGAAGAATATCTCAAAGCTTGGGATTGTACGATTGATAAGATTGGAAAAAACGAAGATCATACAGAATATCAAGTGAGATATGCTGGTAGAGGTGCAGGGCATCATGTCAGGTTTGAGTCTTCATCTCAAGCAGTTGAATGTAGTTGCATGAAGTTTGAGTTTGTAGGGATTTTATGTGCTCATGCTTTGAAGGTTATTGACAAGAAAAATATAAAGCACATCCCAAAACAATATATATCAAAGAGATGGACAAAAGATGCAAAAGATGGAGATCTACGAAGTTCAGTTCGGGTGCAGGGAAGTTCTGAGGAACTCATTGGGAAGCGTTACTTCAATTTGCATTATAATTTTTGAGAGATATCTACATTAGCAGCTGAGAGCAACGAAATGTATGAGCATGCAAGCGAAGTTCTTTCTAGTTTGCTGAAGAATTTGCAGGAGATGAAAAAAATTCAAATGGTGGAGCTTCTAATGAGATATTATGCTCTAATCATGAAGAAGAGCATACAACTGTAGCTGGAGTGAAGTCAAAGGCTACTGTTGGACGACCAAAAGGAAGAATTAAAGGTGCTTTAGAGCGACGAAAAAGTCACAAAGTTCAATCAAAACCACAGGTTATTTTTCCCCTTTTTGTTTCTATAATATGAAACTATTATAGTATTCCTTATATATTATTTATTAGATATCATTCTATGCAGGGTAAGAAGGTGAAAGGTAGTTCTTCTCAGCAAGTAGAAAGTAACAGTGAACTACGAATGCAAAATAATCAGGTTTTACTTTGTCTATTTCATGATAGTATTTTTTTTATAATGAGATATAAGTGAAACTATCCTATGAATCATATCTTAACAATTGGTTAATTTTAGATGACGAACGAACATCAACACCAAAGTTCAATTATTAGTTCAGCTGGAGATAAGTTTGATTCTACATCTTCAGTACGCAATATATCATTCACACAATTGTTAAAGGTATGAAATCAATTGGATTATATATCTATTTAGTTTGATTCTATTAAAATCTCTAAACTAATATAATTCTATCTTAATTCATTTTGCAGGATGCCATAACAAATCCACACATACATGGTCTTGAATAGTGGCAAATGTGTTTTTCTTAGTACTTCAGTAGGATTATTTTTATGTGGGAAGAGATAGTTTGACATAATTTCTTTTGGCATTTGGCGTAGAAGAATTTCCTATTAGCAATTTTTTGGTACAATTCATTTGGATGCCTTATGTTACTCTACTAGCTAGACTTAATTTATTTGATATTATGCTCTAGGAATTCAGTAGAATTAGTGACTTAATTCATTGGGATGCCTTGGCATGAATAGTGATTTAAAGTCTCATGCTTCATATATATTGATTATGTGATTTCTCCGTACAGTAATAACAAAATTATCTCATATCATAAGAAAGCCATCATGTTTTGGTCAGATTAGTTTCATATTCTAATTTCTATCTATTTAAACTTCTCTGTAGATAGCGTAATAATAACAACATAAGGTAGCGTAAATCAAACTACCAAACTAGACACGATAGTCGACGAATAAATATTAAATCAATCTATAAAAGAGAAATCTAAAATGATAAAAAGAAACGTAATAAGACCTTAATGAGCTATGATGAAACTTTACAATTAAAATAGAGGATCGTATGAGGAAAAAACCCTAAAGGAAAAATACATTTTTTAATAATATTCCCACTTTAATTGATAACAATTGATAACAATAATATAAATAAAATAAAAAATAAAGCCAAGTGAATACCTTGAAAGAAAACGGCCAGCTCCTCCGTCATGGTCCGTCAAAGAAAACGCGTCCAAAAGCCCTCCGTCAAAAATCAGCATCCTCCTAATAATTAATTAACACTTGAACCAATCACATGGAGCCACGTGGCTGGGTAGCAGCGGAGAGCTACAACCCAGCCAGCAGCCAAATTTTGCCCTTAAAGCATTGGTGCTTTAGTTTTTTGCCTTTATGGTACAACTTGAAGTTGTACCTATACTCTTTTGTAAAATCATTTTATGGTACAAACTAGAGTTGTACATTTAAGTTATGGTACAACTTGAAGAGTTGAAGTTGTATCACAACATAAAGATCAAATTCTCTTATGGTACAACTCTAACTTGTAACTTTAACGTTGTTGTACAACTTGAAATTGTACTTTAAAGCACCAATACTTTAAAGTATAGTAGAAAGGCTCATAATAAATAAATAAGATTGAAAATCCACGCATAAGATTAATCTTGAATAGTCACGTCAACCCGTGACAACGAACAATAGAGACCAAACAAGAGAAAATAAACTTTTTTATTAATAACTGGAAGATGTCTTGTTTGCCAACTTATACTTCATTCATTAGAAACCATCGAGATGGAGTACATCATAATGCCAAACAAACAAACACATTAATTACACACCAACTTTAGGGACTGCGGCTCGTCCTGGCGCTGACGGTTGTACACTTTCGAGGTTGTAAGGCAACGACTGCAGCCAGTCAGTGCCATTACCTCCGGCTGCAGAGTCTTCGGCGGCGGAAGTGTAGTTGGCGTGCGATGGAAGGCAGCAACAGCATCGAATATATTTCGGCGGCTTACAACAAGACAACAACTCGGGACTGAATTCTCTGATAGCAGTCCCAACCTCGCTTACCACGGCCGCGGTGGTCAAGAAGACACAAATCACAAGACCAAGTTTGCGCAGATTGATGAAGCCCATGTTGAGATTGATGTCCTCTCTCTCTTAATTCTCTCTTTTCTTTGACTTGTGAATGTGTGCTTTTGTTTCATGGACTGCGAACGTATATATAATGGTGTGGCAGTCAGGGAAAGGGAAGTAATTAATTATTATTCTATAAAAGAAAAAGTAGGAAGTAATTAATTATAATGGTGTACTTTGCATGCAAGAGAGATATATAAACAAAATCAGTTTCAATTTGAAAAAATTAATAAGGAGAAGACACTTGGTGTCATCAACTTTACACGGCTGTATGCATGGAGGAGAGAAACAAAGGTAACTAAATGGTAGTTCACATGAAATGGACTATCCCTTCTAGGATTTTTCCAAAAGTAGTAATGTTTTTTTTTTTTTTCAAAAATAGCACCCAACTCCGAAATATTACAAAAATAGCACTCTTTCTGCAAAACTGCCACCCGTACCAGCGGTTTAGGCGAAAACCGCCACCAGGGGCGCGTTTTTCAATGAATACCGCACTGGTAGGGGGCGGTTTTGCTGACCGCACCCCCACCATGCGGTTTGGTTGCAGACCGCACCCCACCATGCGGTCTGTTTTTTTTTTTTTTTTTGGAAAAATCCTAACCTAGGTGGAAACTTCAAACGAACGTATCTTTAGGTATCCGATCGTCGTGAACTTTTTTTTATTCCGCATAAACTTTTGAGATCTTGCAAGCCGAAGACTGCCGAAGGTGGTTTGGTCACGCCTTCGTCCCAAAAAATGTCGTTTGCTACCCCGAACGAGCTTTTTTCCGATTTCGTCAAACTTTGGACAACCATAACTTTGTGCTCCAAAATCCAAACGACATGAAAAAAAATTTATTTCGCATAAATTTTTAAGGAATACAACTTTTATCATAGACATAATTTCAAAATGTACGTGGATTGCTGAGAAGGGAAGGTAAGCTATTCCCAAAATCCTGTATATCCAAAAATAATTCCTGTTTTGAAAATTCATTCCTAGTAAAAATTGTAGTCCTTAAAATGTTATGCGAAATAAAAAAAAATTCATGTCGTTGGGATTTCGGAGCACAAAGTTATGGTTGTCCAAAGTTTGACGAAATCGGAAAAAAGATCATTCGGGGTAGCAAACGACATTTTTTGGGACGAAGGCGGGACAAACCACCTTCGGCAGTCTTCGGCTTGCAAGATCTCAAAAGGTTATGCGGAATAAAAAAAAATTCGCGACGATCGGACACCCGAACACAAAGATACGTTCGTTTGAAGTTTCCACCTAGGTTACGATTTTTCAAAAAAAAATAAATAAATAAATAAAAAGCAGACCGCATGGTGGGGGTGCGGTCTGCAAAACCGCCCCCTACCAGTGCGGTTTTCATAAAAAAACACGCTCCCGGGTGGCGGTTTTCGCCTAAACCGCTTGTATGGGTGGCGGTTTGGCAGAAAGGGTGCTATTTTTGGAATTTTTCGGAGTTGGGTGCTATTTTTAGAATTTTTTTTAAACAATGCTACTTTTAAAAAAATCCCCGTCGGCTAAGTTGCAACATAAAGGGAGTTTAACAATTTTACCACATGATCAACGAGTACTAACTAAAATGAAAATTTTAATGCATCAAGAATGGTAAGTCGGTAGGTTATATATAGGGGTGGTAACGGTACGGTTAACGTGTTAACCGATTACCGTTTTACCGGTATCGGGTATACCGGAAGTCCAAATTCATTCGCCGTTAGCCGTTACCGAATTGTTTCGGTATACCGACAGCCGAACGCAGCCGGTCTCGGTTAGGGAAACGGTTTCCCGAATTCCCGAAGTTATATTTGTTGTCTCCGCCTCGGTCGGAAAGCTGGAAAGGGGCGGCCACTTGTGTGGCAGGCAGCCAGACAGTGACGACGGACGAGTGACAGCTGGGCAGGCAGGGTTGTGTGGCCACTGGCCATCATGCCATGTGCGGATCAGTGGAAACAAATCAACAAACAATTATTCCATTTCCATCAGCATGAAATAACTAAGTAATGAGAAATTTACAACGAGTCACAATTACAATTTACAATGAGACAAATAAGTAAATAACTAAGTAATGAATAATGAGACAAATTAGTGAATCACAAATAAACAAGAAGTAATGAATAATGCCCACACGGTTAGCACCAAGTGATATACATAATACGGTTAGCACCAAGTGATATACAAGAGAATACGACAAATTCTTAACGAGCAAAATACATACATTAACATTATCAAGCTTAAATAATTGAATACATAATACGTACTCGGCAAACACGGCAACATTGATTAACCTCACAGGCAGACGGCGGCCAGGTTCGACATAAACACGGCAACGTCGAAGGGAGTCAACGGACTTGAGGAAAAGTAAAAAACAGAGCCTAGCGGAGCTGCGAAGAGGATGAGGGCTGTTGGGTCGTGTCTCTTGACCGGAGCTTGCGCTAGCGGTGGACGACGAAGATACTACCGTCTACCGGTTTCGATTGACGACGACGGGGTTCGACGAAAACAGGGCAACGGCGAAAGGGCTTGACGGAAACAAAGCCAGAGAGGATGACGGCTCTTGCCTGCTGGTCTGTGTCGTGTCTGTCTCTTGGGTGGAGCTTGTTGCCGACGACGGAGACTCTGTCGGGTTCGATGAACAGAGGATTGATCGGCAATCGTGACTCGTGCTCGTGCAGGCAGCATGGTAGGGCAGCAGGCAGCAGGGAAATAAAGAGCGATGCAAGGTTAATTGCTTAGGTTAGGCTGTTAGGGCTTTTGTTTAATTGTTTTGGGTTGCCGACGTTTGGAATTCAATTGTTTGCGTACTCTGATTCGGTATCGGAATACCGCTCGGCCGACGGTATATTACCTATCGGAACTCGGTACACCGCTAGCCTCAAAACCACAGCCGATTACCGTTTGTTTCGGTTAACGGGTTAACCGATAACCACGGTTACCGGTACGGTTATCGGTTAACACGTTAACCGAACAACCGGTTAGCACCCCTAGTTATATATATATTTGCATAGTGTGAGATGGGGTGGTTATTTGAGAACGATACTCGTTTTGCACTAAGCGCACTTAGGCAGAGCTGTCCCATCCCATGATATTTGGAGGTCTTGTTCGAAAATTTAACATGTGGTCCCTAATTTTTTTCTCAATAAATTTATTATAAAGTACATAAGTTCAGAAAATGATTACAAAATTAATAAACAATCTCACTTCCTGTTTGACCAAGAAACCAAGACCAAATTCTCACTCCTAGCATGGAGGGAGAAAAGTAAATCTGGAGGGAACAGAAAATGGATATAGAGCAAAAATTGAATGGAGAAATGAAAATAATATAAATTGATCGAGAGGTGGGTACGGGTCTATCTAATGGATCGTGTAGGCCCTATTCTAAAATTGAGACATTATCCAAATTGACTTTTAACTATAATAAAACTAAAATGATTATAATACCATTATTCAAAATGTAATATCTTTCTTTATTATTTAAGTAAAAATTATCTATTATCTCTCTGATTTTCGTATTCTCCACGAGATCCTTTTCAATTGTTATTATAGTTAAAATTATTTATTAAATTTGTCATCATATTCATAATCTATCAATCATACACTAAAAAAACAACCTGCAATATTCGATCGGTAACTAACGAATCTGAGTGGAGGCCCCTAATATTCAGAGGCCCTGTGCCGGAGGGCGGGCCGGCACACCCTCTTGGCCGGCCCTGCACTTAGGCAGGCCATATTGGGTAAAAACACATATTGACATTGAGAGCGTGGGGTGGTAGGTTGACGCATTTTTTACGTGCTATTTAGGGGAAAAAAAAAACAAAATAACTTAAATTTTGTTGTAAGAACATAAAGAGAATATACTTAATTTTATAAATATAAAGGAGAAATGCTATTGATTAATTGAGTACAATTATTTGAAAGATTGAGTCTTATACTTGGTCAATGTTTCAATGAGGCAATAATATTATCCAAAAAAAAATTAACACGAAAAATACAAGTAGATATCAAAGCAAATCAAGATGGAAGGGATAGAGAGCAAGGCAGAGTAAGGATTTTGGCGTGAAGGCCCGGGGCACCAATGTAGTTAAAATTGCATTTTAAAGTTTAAAAAATTTACGCTTTTACGTTTCTAGATCACCAAATGCTTCTACACGTAATCATAGTTTTATAACTAACTTAGTTAAAAATGCGCTTTAAAAATATATTTACGGTTCTACGCTTCTATAACACCAAAACTCTTCTACGTAGAAACGCATTTTTGATTACATTGGGGGCAACAATTGAATTTAATAGACCCAGTTCTTAACCGATAAAATTTTAAAAGTATTAAACACCTGTCCTTTCATTAATACACTCGATAAATTGTTAATCATTGCGGTACCCGAAACGAAAATTTTGTATTATACCATCAGAATCCTTCATTGTATTTTTCCTTTAACTACTGTTATTGTTTTTTCTTTTACTCACTTTCTTATTTTTTCCTAAACTTCTTATTTGTCCTTTTACTTTTCCTATCTTTCCATAACCATTATTCTTGTCTCATTCTTCCTTCCTTTTCCCTCTCACGTCACACTACCTCCCTTCAATTTATTTTGCCCACATGAGAAAGACACAGACACCATTCCATTCTCCTTCTTTCCCCAATCTTTCTTCTATTTTCACCCACTTGCATACACATGCATGCATACGTACAAACCTTCCTTCCTCTATAATTATTTATACCTTTCATCCCCATGACTTCTTCCTATCACCCATTCACTCCTTTATTTTCAATGACATACTTACATTTTCTCATACACACTTGAACTTTCTCATATACCATAATTGGTGAGGAATATTAGTGTATGACGGAGAATGTTAAGGTATAGCGGAGAATATTAACGAGTATAGGGGAATAATGGAGAATGTTGGTGAATGTTAGCGTAAGTCGAGGAATTCAACTACGACTTTTTCGTATAAATAGGGAGCACCCCTCCCCCTTTCTCAACACACGATAAGTCCCTCCACACAACAAGTCTCACACACACACCACATAAGTCGCTTATGACTACTTCACACAACACAACTCACACACAATATACACTCTCTCTATTTTCTCTCTCTAAAAACGTTTTCTCTCTCCTCCCGATCTTCCAAAAACGTGTTAAATCTCTCAACACTCAACACACTCTCAATTTGGCGGACTAAGCCATGGAATCGTGGATAGTCTCCACCGGGCGGCATTAAATAGCCGACGAAGCTCAATTACGACTGTGGGACCGAACCAGGTCTAACGTCATCGTATTTATTTTATTCCATTCAGGTTAGTAATTTGAGTGTCGGAGGAGGTTCCAACCAGGACCCCCGGTGGGACCTTTTTTCAGGTATTCGCACGGAGCTGGAGGTGGTTAAAGGCTTTGGGAAATTATCGCTCTCCGGACCTTAAACATATTGAAGCAGGCTGCTCTAAGCTTGGCATCAACAATTGGCGCCCATCGTGGGGCCCGGTGAGAAGAATATTTCCAAAGTTTTAACAAACCACCACCAAGCCGTGATGAATACCCAAGGTTCTCCCAGTATTCCTACCATCGAAGCAGTGCGTCGCTCTTTAAGAGTAATTGAGACTGGGGGCAACCCAACCCCCCGTTCACCAATCAGCGATGCACCGAGTCAAAATACAGAGCCTCAAGTGGTGCCACTTGCACAGAATACCTCCATTCCAGCACCAGAAGCAATTCCCACCCCTACTCCGCCACAAGTACGTGAGATGCAGGTTGAGATTGAGCGACTTAGAGCTCAACTCAGGGCCAAAAAAGCCTCCCAGATTAATGCTCCTGGATCTTCCAGAGGACCCGTAACAAATAATCAGGAGAGAGTTGTAGCCCATGGCTCGGTCAACGAACCACCCAATGGGATGTCAGCACCTGTTGGATTAATCGCTCCGAGTCTCTCAGCCAATCTGCTCGAACCTTCCCCAGGACACGGAGTTGTCACTTCAACCGGAGTAGGAGGACCTCTATCCAGAATCGTGCAGGATGAGCCCTACCCATCAAATCTTCATTTACCAAGCTTGCCGGAGTATTATGGCACCACAGATCTAGAAGACCACCTTTGCTCTTTTCAAATCCTAATGCCATTAATCGGAGCATCTGATGCAACAATGTGCAAAATCTTCCCAGCAACAATCCGTGGAGATGCCCGACGATGGTACTCAAAGTTACAAGATGGTATTATCTCCAGTTTCTTCGAATTTGCCACTCTCTTCAGATGCAAATTCTATGCAAAAAAAAACAACCTATCAGCATCCATCAACTCCTCAGCATCAGGCAGCGTGATGATGAGACACTCAAGTCTTACTATACTCGATATAGTAACATCGCCATCGGACTAACGTCCATTTCCACTGAGATTGCCACCAATGCCCTGATGCGAGGGACTATCAATAGTGATTTATATGCTTCTCTTGCAAAACGGGCTCCCCACAGCACTATGGAGCTTCAAGAGCGAGTTTCAAAATATATTGATCTAGAAGAAGCACTTCAGGAGGTTAGTTGGGCAGGATCCAAAAGAAAACAAGAGACTTCATCCCAAGATTCCTGCCGACAACGTCAAGCTCCTGCAGCCGAGGGCCGAAACTCTTCCCAAAATTCCAGAAGGGAAGATACCCAGTTACAACAAAGCTATACTCCTCTCAATCGCTCTAGACAAGCCATTCTTCAGATCATTCGAGAGAAGAAAATTCCCATTACTCAACCTCCTCCAGTTATGAGGGTTTCAAGAAAGGGCCAACAATTCTACTGCGAATTTCACCGATGTACGGGACATGATACAGAAAGCTCTTACACCCTCAAGCACTCTATTGAAGGACTTATCCAACGAGGCTATCTTCGAGACTTTGTAAAGAATATTCGTCCCCCTATTCTCCCTTCACCTCCAATAATAGACAAAGGAAAAGCACCACAGGGAAGTGGATCGGTGTTGGGAAATGTTCCTGTCATTCATGGTGGGGTTAAATTATCCGAACAAGTTGGTTCTCGCTCAACCGGTGGCCCAAGGTTGGTCGGTTCCGCTTCTACCACACAAATTCCCATATCTTTCGATGATAGGGATCTTGAAGATATCGAGTATCCTCATGATGATGCCTTAGTCATTAAGGCAGTAATTGCAAACTATTCTGTGCAACGAGTCCTCATCGATAGATGAAGCTCTGCAGATCTTTTATTCTACCCAGCTTTCAAGTCCATGGGTCTTCAACTAAACAAATGTCACCCTCCTAGCATTTACCTCGTGGGCTTCTCCAAAAATCAAGTCCCAGTTCTGGGGATTCTCCCACTCCAAGTTCGTATTGGCAATGACCAACAAACCGTAGAGAACACAATCAACTTCCATGTTATTGACTGCCCTTCCACGTACAACTGCATTCTCGGGCGCCCTTTTCTACATCAAGTTCGGGCTATACCCTCAACCCTGCACTTAAAATTGAAGTTCCCAACTATTTCCGGAGTCGGGTGTGTGAAGGGAGATCAAGCTCTTGCACGACAGTGTTGTGAGTTCTCCCTTAAAGATGGCTTTGTGGCCACGATGGAAGCCAAAGACGAGGTCGCTCGTCCCGTTCCCGTTGACCCTGATGAAGAACATACATTAGAAGAAGGGCGAACCGTTCGTGTATCCATGGCATGGCCTAAAAATTATCTCCGACAACTTCTTAGTTTGATGATCGAGTACAAAGAGCTCTTTGCTCAAGGACCTGAGGATATGCCTGGTCTTGATTCAAAAGTTGTCGAGCATACACTAGGGATAATCCCAGGTAGCAAGCCCATCCAACAAAAAAGAAGGAACTTTGCATGGGAACGTCGCCAGGCCATAGCAGAGGAGGTAATCAAGCTAGGGCAAGCCGGCTTCATTAGCGAGGTTCTCTACCCAACATGGTTGGCTAATGTGGTCATGGTTAAAAAGGCCAACGGCCAGTGGAGAATGTGTGTTGACTTCACCGATCTCAACAAGGCTTGCCCGAAGGACCCGTATCCTTTGCCCAAGATTGATCTGCTTATTGATGCGACCGCCGGTCATTGCCATCTCTCTCTTTCTTGATATGTTCTCAAGGTACCACCAAATCCCACTAAAGAAGGACGACCAAAAATATACTGCCTTCATGACTCCAGTAGGAAATTATTGGTGATGCCGTTTGGCCTCAAAAATGCCGGAGCTACCTATCAACGTATGGTGGATCGAGTCTTTGCCCGACAACTAGGTCGAAATGTTGAAGCCTATGCGGATGACATCCTAATCAAAAGTACAGAGACACATGCACATTTAGAAGATCTACGCGAGACTTTTGATACCCTACGAGGATACAACCTGCGCCATAATCCAAAAAAGTGCGTCTTCGGGGCCACCGCAGGGAAGTTTCTTGGATTCATGGTGAAAAGACGTGGAATCGAGGTTAACCCTAGGCAAATTGAAGCGATTCTCCAGATGACATCACCTAGAAAGCATAAAGAAGTACAGGTTCTAACAGGAAGGATTGCGGCACTCAATCGATTCATTTCACGAGCTGGGGATCGGTGTGCCCCTTTCTTCAACACCCTAAAAGGAGCTGGAAAAACCTTTCAGTGGACTCCTGAATGTGAGAAAGCTTTCACAGAACTTAAGGAGTACTTGGTGAATCCCCCAATACTCTCATGTCCAGTCAACAACGAGACATTGTACATGTACTTTGCTGTCTCCTCCAAGGCTGTGAGTGCTGTACTCGTTCGCCGAGATACAGACAATACAGAGCATCCTATTTACTACACTTGTAAGACCTTGTTAGATGCTGAAACAAGATACTCTCCTGTAGAGAAAGTCGCCCTAGCTGTGATGGTTGCCACTCGAAAGCTGCGTCCGTACTTCCAATGCCACCCCATATGTATACTCTCTCAACTGCCTTTACGTCGTCTACTTCAGCGGATGGATGTTGCTGGTAGAATGGTGAACTGGGTCATCGAGCTTAGTGAATACGATATCACTTTCCTCCCTCGCACCGCCATCAAGTCCCAAGTTTTAGCTGACTTTGTTGCAGAAGGTGTTCGAGCATGTCTCCCGCCAGAAACAGAGACTTGGAGATTGTACGTTGATGGTGCATCTAGTAAAACTGGATCCAGAGCAGGAGTTTTGCTCATCAGCCCTCTCGGAGTCACTCATGAATTGGCAATTCGCTTTGCCAGCACCATGACGAACAATGCCACCGAGTATGAAGCCCTCCTAGCGGGACTGATTATGGCTCAAGAATTGGGCATTCAACGAATTAGGGTCCACTCCGACTCTGCCCTAGTTGTCAATCAAGTGCAGGGGGCATACGAGGTACGAGAACCCGCGCTTGTACCATACTCCAATGCCGCTCGTATGGCGCTCTCTGAGTTTCACATATCTCGTGAGGATAATCTTCATGCAGACGCATTATGAAAACTTGCAACAGCACAAGACTTCCTCAGCAAGAGACATGTGATCATTGAAAGGCGTCCAACAATGTTATGCGCCCAAGTTACCTCGTTTCCAGCACAATCCGATTGGCGAACACCTCTCATCGAGTATCTAAAACATGGGCTCCTGCCCGCTGACCAGAAGGAAGCCATCCGCCTTAAGAGACGTGCTCCTCGTTACCTCCTGATCGAGGGAGATTTATACAAGAAAGGCTTCACTGGACCCTACTTGCGGTGCCTTAGCATTGGCGAAGCACACTTTGTCGTACAAGAGGTACATGAAGGATCATGTGGGATGCATGCTGGTCCTCGTAGCTTGGAAAAAACCCTTCTACGACAAGGTTACTACTGGCCCACGATGCGGCGGGACACTCGAAAGTATGCTCAAGCATGCCCCAAATGTCAGGTGGCCGCGCAAACCACTCATGCACCTCCATCAAAAATGCAGGTTAACATCGGGCCATGGCCATTCGCTCAATGGGGGATGGACTTTTTGGGACCCTTTCCCACGACTACCGGACGAAAGAAATGGTTGATCGTAGCCATTGATTATTTTACCAAGTGGATTGAGGCTGAGGCGATCGCTAGCCTATCCACTCAGAGAGTTGAAAAGTTTTTATGGCTAAACATCTTATGCAGGTTCAGTCTCCCTCACACTCTAATCATGGATCAGAGGACACAATTCACGAGCGAAGATTTACAGGCCTATTGCATCCAATATGGAATCTTACTTCGATATGCCTCGGTGGCCTATCCTCAAGCTAACGGTCAGGCTGAGGCTGCTAACAAAAGCATCCTATGGGGCCTAAAAACCAAATTAGGCCAGGCCAAGGGTCGATGGGTAGAGGAGCTGCCCCATGTGCTTTGGGCCCACCGCACAACTTACAAGACTTCCACTGGGGAGACACAATATGCCTTGACTTATGGCACCGATGCTATGTTGCCAATTGAAATGGAGCTCTCCTCTTACAGAATCCAAGCATTCCACCCTGATGAAAATCAAATCGAGCTCACTCATGATCTACATCTCATCGAGGAGCGTAGAGAGGAAGCACTTTTGCGACTCGCCGCTTCCAAAGAGAGGATCACGCGTTACTACAACGCCTAGGTGAGAAATCGACCCATCAGGGAAGGGGAGTGGGTTCTGAGGAGAAACTTCAAACACATTCCAAGTCAAGGAAAGTTCACCCCCAGTGGGAGGGTCCTTACAAAGTGCGTAAAGTGGTGGAACCAAATACTGTAAAACTATCACTCCCTGATGGTCAAGACATGTCAAGGACTTGGAACACAATGCATCTAAGGAGATACTTTACTCCATAAATATGGTATACCCTTGCTATCTTTTAAATAAACACCCCAGTGGATTTGTTCCCTAAATAAATACCATGGTAGGGTGAAAGATAGCTAGCAATAAAAGCAGCGTGTTTATTATTACAAAAGTTTGGAAGCCCATTGTACATTACCTACTACAGGTGTTTATAAGCTAAGCTATACACATGACCGAGTATCTTACATAATATTTTACAATGTTATTTCAAGTTGGAATTTCATAAACTTTAGTTCTCAAAAAACTCTGGGTCGAGTAACTCGGTTGCAGCTAACAACATTGCCGTCGAGATATTAAAGTCTGAATGCACTGGGGTGCCAACCATTGGAGATGCTTCAGAAACAACATCTAAAAGTGGCGAGATGCGATGGAACTCAATCTCCACATTTGAAATTTGGCTTGCTGCTTCCCCAGACTGAGGAGCACCAACGCATTCCTCCACGACATTCATATTTTGGGATGTCACCTCATCAGGTTCCAAAGTAGTCGCACATTCTTCCACCACTTGACGAAGGCGGGTGTCATCAATATCTCTTGCATGATACATACAATAAATTGCCCTTCTGGCCAGGCGATGGACATTATCCATCACTCCCGAAACCGCCATTTGTAACTGATGACGTAGAGTATTATTCTCTGATCGGAGGGTGGTGTTTTCTGAGTGTAAACCAGTATTCTCCGACCGTAAAGACCTCCTGATTAGCCTCTCCTCACGCATAATGGCGTGAAGCTGCTCAACTTTTTCGCGAAGGCCAGCCTCAGCTGCTTTTGAGGTACGCAGCTCCTGTGTGGCTACCTCAATATGTTGTTGAGCCTCCACCATGTCTGCATTCCATTCAAAAGATTTGGAAGAAAATAGCTCCTCTCTTGTCTTCATCTGGATTCTCATTTCGTCCAAAGAACGAGTTGCCTCCTCTCGGGCCTCAGTAACCCGAAGCTCTGCCATAGCTAGGCGACACTCCATGGCAACAGCGTACCTCGCCAGCTATTCGCAAAATAACAACGTCAATGCATCATATACAAATTGAAGACCAAAAAACAAAGGAAGAACGTAAAAGCACCTTTGAAACAGAAGAAGCAAAAGTCGATCATGTGGCTACATCTTCTAAAACGGGATAGTGTTTCCTCGCATCGCACAAACTGTCATACGTTATGATACCACCAGCCAAAATTCCACCTTTGCTGGCTCTTGAAGACTCCACATGATGCTTCAGGGTTCCCCTACCGCCCACTGGGGTTTTTCCTTTGGCATCTCTGGCTCTCCCCTCAGAGCGACCCTTCCCAGTAGAGGAATCTCCTGATCCTCTCACCCAGGAAGGAGTTCTCTTCGAATGGTCATGACGAACTCTCGACCGTCCACGCGGGGGATTATCTGGCCTCTCACGAATTGGCATCCCGACATACGAGTGAGGCACTGCTGGCACTTCTCTATTCCTCATACACCTCTGAAAGTGTGAGTAATCTGCAAGGAAGAATTACAGTTAGAAAATAGGGTCACAAAAAGGGAAGTACTTTAAAAAATGACGTACCTTTACCATAAACAGCAAGAAACAAGCTTGCTCGAGCCCCAGGAGTACTTATATCAATGGGTCTCTCCCGTAGAAGCCGCTCATGCTGTAAAGCGATTTCTCCCTCAATCACGGGATCCTGAAATCCACCTGTAACACCTTCACTCCAGTCAGCTGGGACCGTGATACCTCCGGAGGTAAACTAACTAGGCGGGGCAAGAAAATAAAAAAATTCCGTCTCCCACGACCCCTTTAGGTGGCTCAGCGAAGTGCCAAGGTTATTGGCTGACTTCCGTTTGTGCAGTTCCCAAGCCACTCGATCATGACGAAAGAAAAAACAAGCATAAAACAACTTGGGGGATGGTGGAACCCCAACTCGACGACATGACAGAATAAAACAAGCGATGAAAGTCCAAAAACGAGGACTAACAGAATCGATTGAAAGCTTACTACGGTGCATTACAACACACAACCATGTAGCCAGGGGCAATCGAAACCCATACTCCAGAGAAGAACGAAAAAGCGATCGCCATGATGATGGGTGACTTACAGTCGAAACAAGTCTGTTGGGTATGGCATAACTCCAGTGATGAGGCATACCATACGAAACCAACAGTTCTCGTAACCACTTTTCACTTTGCGTAAAACCACGTCCCAGGCCACCTACTGGGTACTCCGGAGGCACTCGACCAAGAGGATACATCACCTCCCAAGGACAGACATTAAAACCCAGTGGGTTAGGTGCTATATTTTGAGACCCACTAGCATCCGATCCTCTTGCCACCACAATAGTGGAAGGCGGTATAATCATTAAATGATGATTATCTCGTAATGATGAAGGTAAACTCGCCATTTTTACTAAAGGTAAAATGAGAATTTACTGTAGGGATAGTGAAACAAGAGTTTACTGTGGGTAGTGAACTGCTTTTGCTTTGTGAGAAATGAAAAGATGGGAGGAGAAGTACGAGAGCAGGAGGCTGGGAAATGGAGAATGGATTATGTTCCCTCCGCTCTGGTATGTATAGGAACAACGTTTGAGACTGGGTCTAATACCGACTTACCGTCAGAAAATGTCCGGACGAACTCCGAATTTTTCTATCGGTAAGGGGGGCAATTGATAGACCCAGTTCTTAACCGATAAAATTTTAAAGTATTAAACACCTGTCCTTTCATTAATACACTCGATAAAATGTTAATCATTGCGGTACCCGAAATACCCGAAAATTTGTATTATACCATCAGAATCCTTCATTGTTTTTTTCCTTTAACTACTGTTATTGTTTTTTCCTTTACTCACTTTCTTATTTTTTTCCTAAACTTCTTATTTGTCCTTTTACTTTTCCTATCTTTCCATAACCATTATTCTTGTCTCATTCTTCCTTCACTTTCCCTCTCACATCACACTACCTCCCTTCCATTTATTTTGCCCACATGAGAAAGACACAGACACCATTCCATTCTCCTTCTTTCCCCAATCTTTCTTCTATTTTCACCCACTTGCATGCACATGCATGCATACGTACAAACCTTCTTTCCTCTATAATTATTTATACCTTTCATCCCCATGACTTCTTCCTATCTCCCATTCACTCCTTTATTTTCAATGAAATACTTAAATTTTCTCATACACACTTGAACTTTCTCATATACCATAATTGGTGAGGAATATTAGTGTATGACGGAGAATGTTAAGGTATAGCGGAGAATATTAACGAGTATAAGGGAATAATGGAGAATGTTGGTGAATGTTAGCGTAAGTCGAGGAATTCAACTACGACTTTTTCCTATAAATAGGGAGCACCCCTCCCCCTTTCTCAACACACGATAAGTCCCTCACACAACAAGTCACACACACACACCACATAAGCCGCTTACGACTACTTCACACAATACAACTAACACACAATATACACTCTCTCTACTTTCTCTCTCTAAAAACGTTTTCTCTCTCCTCCCGATCTCCCAAAAACGTGTTAAATCTCTTAACATTCAACACACTCTCATTTTGGCGGACTAAGCCATGGAATCGTGGATAGTCTCCACCGAGCGGCATTAAATAGCCGACGACGCTCAATTACGACTGTGGGACCGAACCAGGTCTAACGTCATCGTATTTATTTTATTCCATTCAGGTTACTAATTTGTGCG